CAAGGGATACGATCTCGAAGGCGGTAAAAGAGGTTGAAAGAAAGGCCACCGAGCGCCGTGCCCGCACCGGCAGTCGAGCTTCCCCTAGCTTTGATGAGGAAGAGGAATCCGTTATCGGAGACTGCCTTTTCAACTCAATTTACATTGGGATTCCCGCTAACAAAGATCCTCGAGAGATTCGCAACGATATCAATCGCAACATCGATGACCTTGTCAGTGAAACAGGAAGCTATGCGACCACTACAACTGTCACTGGAGCGACTGTGCGACAAAGTCAATCGCCTTCGTTACGGGGAAAGAAACTACGGTTGTCCCGAAGCAAGTACCACAAAATGACCTTTGAGCTGAAAGGGATTTGCGCAGATCTAGTCGTGTTTCCGCCTGGCCTGGATGAAACACAAAGCTCCTTGGATGTTCGGGTGGACGATGTGGAAATTTTCGACCATGTACCTACCTCGACATGGAAGAAATTCGCAACCTATATGCATGAAGCCGGCGAAAAGGAGAGCGGAACGAGCATGTTGCATCTCGAGATCTTGACGGTCCGGCCTGTGCCCGAACTTGCTGCTTCTGAGATTGTGCTCAAGGCGACCTTGCTTCCTCTCCGATTGCACGTTGACCAGGACGCTTTGGACTTCATTTGCCGATTCTTTGAGTTCAGGGATGACACTGCACCGACGCCGACCGCTCCAAGCGAAGTCCCCTTCCTGCAACGAGCTGAAATCAATGCTGTGCCAGTGAAACTAGACTTCAAGCCCAAGCGGGTGGATTATGCTGGTCTTCGATCGGGTCGTACTACCGAGTTCATGAACTTCTTTGTGCTGGACGGCGCAGATATGGTGATGCGGCATGTCATCATTTACGGTGTTTCTGGTTTCGATAAATTGGGCCAGACACTCAATGACATCTGGATGCCCGATATCAAGAGTAATCAGCTACCAGGGGTTCTGGCTGGTCTGGCCCCCATCAGGTCACTGGTTAACGTAGGTGGAGGCGTGAAGGACTTGGTTATGGTGCCCATGCGCGAATACAAGAAGGACGGCCGTATTGTTCGGAGTATCCAGAAAGGCGCCTTGGCGTTTGCTAAGACCACCTCTCATGAACTGATCAAACTGGGCGCCAAGCTTGCGATTGGAACCCAAACGGTGTTGCAAGGTGCCGAGGATCTGTTGTCCAGCCCTAATGCACCGACTGTGGGCCAAGAAGATGATTTCGGTGACGACGAAGATGCCAAGAAGATCTCGCTGTATGCCGACCAACCACTCGGAGTTGCTCAGGGTCTCCGAGGCGGATTCAGAGGATTAGAGCGTGATCTGTTGACGGCACGGGATGCCATTGTCGCGGTTCCTGGCGAGGTGCTGGAGAGCGGAAGTGCCAAGGCTGCTGCCAAAGCAGTGATGAAGCGTGCGCCGACGGTTATTCTCCGTCCTGCGATCGGTGTGACCAAGGCTGTGGGACAGACCTTGCTAGGTGCCGGCAACACCCTCGATCCTAGCAATCGCCGCAAGATGGAAGACGTAAGTTTGGACTTGATTACTGGACATCTTGGACTGTCTTTGCTGACCCACCACCTTTGCAGAAATACAAACGCCATTGAAACGACTTTCACGTGATATTCCGACGAGTTGATTGATATCTTGGATGCTTGATACCACGATCTGACGGCAGCCAGAGTTCCACTATTCGAGCATGTCTCTTTTTCCCTCTTCAATACTCAGGTCATACCTGAAAGCAGCTGCAACTAGTACATATAATCTCAACACGACCACTAGTGGCAAGATCTTGATGAGCTGTAGGCAGGTTGTACCCGGAGCTTTAGACGCGGTTGCAAGGATTTGTCCTCATATTTTGGTTTTGGTTTTTTTCCCCCTTTCCCTTATGACAGTCATGACACATGATACTCCAATTTAGCTTTCTGTCCTCCTTCTTCATGTCAAATATTTGCTTTCCGTGGATCGAAGAAGAAGCATGAGACGGTGTTAGGATCTCTTTTTTTTTGCTCTCTCTTTCTCCTCTCTTTCTTTTTTCCCTTCGTTGTTATTATTTCCATTGAAATTGGCGACAATTTTTTGGGGTGCCGAAGGACTGGTAGACTGGTTGTAGAAATGCGAAGCTATTTAGGGGACACACTTTGGTCCTTTTGCTTTCTCTTCCTCCGATTGATAAGAATGGCTGTACAGGAATCTACTTACCTTGATTTAACGTTACATGGCTTTACGTACGTAAGGTCCTGCAATAGCCGTTCATCTTCGAAGAGTGAGCATGTACATGTACCATACTATAAGGTAGTGGATCTCATCGGCCACTCTAGCCTAGCCAGTCACCATCCTACGCAGCGGGAATGGGTTGGCGCGAGAAAAGCAGCGAATGAACACCGGCCACGCCATAGCCGTGCACAGAGCTTACATTTACCTTTATACTAAGGCACGAAACTCCCTCCCATCCAGTCCCTTGGGCTCCGTGCCTGAAGTTCTTGTTCCTGTTCCCTGTTCACTGTTCACCATTGGGGTGGAAAGGGTTTAGGTCGTGGTGGAGGAGCGGGGGGGGGAGGGGGGATGCAGACATGATCCGGATATGCAAGAAGATGGGCATGTGGGCGGGCACATAGTCACGATCGTCCAAGTAGACGAAGGAGGAATGGAGGCAATCCACACCCCCGTATGTACAGTACAGTAGGTACCATCAGTGTGGTACTTCCGTGGATTGTGCCTGAGGGGGGGAAGAGGAGTTCGTCACGGGAGCTGATAACATTCATTCCTGAAACTGAACTAAACTCTTTAGGCAGGCAGATAGATCTCTCCGGTTCAGCTGGCTGGCTGGCTGCCTGGCTGCCTGACTGCCTGCCTTGTCGGAACGAGAGATGCTCATTCACTCACTCGACTTTGGGGATTCCTTGGGCGTGCTATGGGATGAGATGGGGTTGAGTGGATGGGGCGCGGATGGTTTTTGTTTAGTATGTACGGGGGATAAGTGTGTGTTCGTGTGTAGGCATAGTTGTGCGGAATGCCTTACAGGTTACGAGTAGGTAGGTAGGTAGATAGGTAGGACTCGCTAATCGTTGAATTGGAAGAAAGCGGGGTTTTGTGGAATGTGGCGAAGATGGAATTGGGAAAGGTACTGAGTTAGGTCAGTTGAATTGGTGTGCGATTGAAGTGCGGTTCAAGTCTATGGTGGTGGATTTGAGAGCCTTTTGGAATTAGAGACGAAGATTGGGAACAGGTGTGGTCGTGGTGGTGTACATCATGGATAGTAACTAAGGTACGGAGTACAGTTAGTTACAACCTCGTAAATACTCTATGTTGTTAGTCTTGGCTTGTGTGCGAGGAGTTCTTCTGACGGAGAGATTAAGATTCAAGGCCGAAGAGACGGTCAGCACAAAGCAAAGCGAAGCAAAGCAAAGAGACAGGTCATTGCCATTCACTGCAGTGGATTGCCACAGCCACATCTGATGTGTGTGATTGGATGTATAGGATTTGTAGGCGACATGAAACCAGTCACACTCTCCCCGATCATTGGCGGTTGGCAGAGGATGAGGCCTGCGCTGCGTGGGCAAATGAGAATTCCCCGGACTCTGTGTCTCAGTCAAGATTGAGCGACGATTGACCTGGGAATGAAAGAGGATGAATGAATACTCGGAAATGACTTTGCTGTCCCAGAGGAATTCGGTGGTGGTCTGATGTACCCGGGAGGTACCTACCTAGTACAGTACTAGGTACTGACATGTACGGTTGCTGCCCAAGTGGGATTGGCAGATGACGCCGCAACCGAAGTAAGTACAGTAGTATCTTTAGATCCTGCGTCCATTGGTCATTGGTTCCATGCACGTCAACCTGCAGTTTGACCTGGCCATGAAAAGATCCCATTATTAAGTGATCGTCTTTGCACGGCTGCAGAGAAGCAGCAGCAGCAGCAGCAGCAGCAAGCAAGCAAGCTGCTTCTTCCTTCCTTTTTTTTTTCTCTCTCCTCTATTCTTCCTTCTTCGCATCTCATCTATCTCCACTCGCTCTTGCCATTCTTTTCATCAAAACCTCTGCAACCCTGTCCTTTTCTTCATCTTTTATTAGACCATTCAGGTGCTGATAGGTAGTGCAATATGCTGATGGGCTGGTGAGAAGCAGGAGTGACTTGCTGTCTGCCCGCATATCCGATCTAGATCACTCTCCGGCACTGTTCTCGTGCAACCGTAACACTGCTTCATCGCGAACCGTTATCGGTTCATCTTGAGACATTCTGTCTCGCTTCAATCCGCGGTGCTTGTTGATATTCCGCTCATTCCGAAGGACAGCATTTGTTGCTGTTGGTGTAGGTGTTGGTGTCTTGTCCTCTTATCGTCTCAATTGCACCGACTGGTGATGTCAACCGATTGAGAAGATCTGCACTTCCTCAATGCCAGCAATCAACAGCTCTGAGTTCACATCTTCTTATCTTCTCATGTCCCGGGCAATTGTGCTTCTTTCCCATTCACCTTCTATACTTGCCCTCGCTTGATCCCGGCCTAGATCAAGGCACGAGCCTCCGATCTACCATGGCGATGGCCCTCGACGTCGGCTCTCCCTACCATGGATCTCCGCACCACCCGGATACTATACACTATATGTCGACATCGCCAGCCTCTGACCCATTGCAGTTACTCGCCTCAAACCCCGCCATATACCCAGCAGGATACGCGGGAAACCTTTCACTACACAATTACCGCAAACTACTGCCGGACAGCGATCCTTTCATCGATGGCCAGGACGGAAAACTCCTCAGACGGAAAAACGCCGCTCTGCATTTGAACCAAACCCAGCTCGATTCTGTTCCCCTAAGCACTCCCTTCTCCATGTCGTCTCCAGGGTCAAGTCCGCCGCCATTGTCGCCGTCCTACTCCCCGAGCGCGCGGAGCGACCAAGATCCGGACATGCCGCACGGGTGTGGCCGTAAGTAGACGACACCCCACTATTGCTCATTTGGTAGCGTGCTAGACTGGCTAACAAGTTGTCCAGTGTCACCAAATGTTGCTACGCCTGCGCCGTTGAGCGCGCCGTTGAGCGCGACCTTTCCCAGAGAGAATCCGCACAGGCTTCTGGTAAGGCCCTGACAAAGCCTTGCATTCCCAACTGACGTAGGTATGCGATCAGGATACATTCCGGGACAGACTCGAGAGCTATCCCGAGCCAGGCACAGATCCGGAATGTTTCACCCGCAGGCACACTAGGACCCGCTCCGACTCCATCCTATGGAGCATGAAGAAAACCACAGCGACCATTGTTGATCACGGCACGTCATTCGAGATCATTAATCCGCACGAGTCGCTGAACTTTGCCCGGATCGTGTCCTTCATCGAAGATGTCGATGCCTATTCTCTTCGGGCATCCAGCGGCCATCATCGCGAGTCGTACATCGAGGTGATTAATGAGACGGAAGTGGACCCTAGTCCTGAAAGCCAACCTGGGGATGACCACGCAAACCCGTCCTCGGAGCAGGATTCCCAGCAGGTTCACCACGAATTAGTTGGCGACTCGCCGCATCTTCCCATGCCGTCGATATCGGAGCGTCTGGAACGCGAGGACGCTGATGACATGGCCTCGAATTACTCGCGCTCGCCCGGTTGCACGCGTAAGCGACCGGCGCCGCTCAGACCACGGGCCTGGACTGACGAGAGTGACCTTGGGGAGCCGGGCTCCCCGATCCGGGAAGATGGCGATTGTCGGTCTCACGTACAATTCCCACTGCCCACCCCTTCCCCTTACTCCCTAAGCGACAGCCATCCGACCTCCTTACCCGGTCCAGCGGCGGCCTACTATGATCTCAATCTTTGGTACGGACCCCATGGGGTCGACCAGAGTCAGGGTCACCCTCACCCACTCCATTCCAATCCAACCTCTCCACATTATCTCTGCCCATCCCCATTCATCTCCCATCTGGCCTTGCCTGAGCAGCAGGAGATCCGCATCCAAAGCGGTATTACCAAAATAACCGACCGTCGTAAGAAGAACGTCAAACCGGGGAGCAGTGGGCCTCTGAAGCCCTTGAAGCGACTATATAACATGCTCCAGCGAAAGCGGCAGTGAATTTCTACCCATTCTTATTCATTCGGCCCTCCTCCCTAGTTTTTTGTGCCTAGCGTTGTTTCCTATTTGGCATTTGATACTCCCGGTCACATGCGCGAGCGCATGCCGTCATGGTTTTCTCTGAGCAAGGATTGTCTGTGTGTTCTATATCACTTTGAGCGAATTGGGCCATTAGCCTACCCCTGCCTGTCCGTTTAGATTAGGGCCTTTGACAGGACCCAGCATTGTTTTTCTTATTGACAAGGGCATATATCAAATAGAGGTTGTGTTTGCCAGCACGGTGTGTACGTTTTAAGATGGTTCACGTGCTATATATTAGCTACTACTTTGGAAAGCGAAGACGGCGCAGTGGTGTGTGAATTTTTATGATACATGAAGATGTGCGATTAAAGATATATAAAAGAAGTGCCCTATAACCGAGTTTCGAGGGTCGCACCAATATGAATGCACCAAGAGACAAAAAACAAAAAAAGAATAGAACGTCCAAGGCAAACAAGCAGACAGTCTGGGTATCTTTCTTTCGATATGCACACAATGCACAAGCAATTCCAAACCCTGAAAGAAGATAGATGGCAATAGGAACAGAGATGAAGATGAGGAGCGCACACCCGGATATAGAACAAAAAAAGTGAGTCAGAAAAGAGAAGTGAAGAAGAATGAAAAAAAAGAGGAATGGAGAAAAGGGAAGAGTCGAAGCAGGTATCGAAGCGATGAATGGTATGCACCTGGCTCAAGGATGCTGGACATATATACCCCAAGAGAAGAGATACACGTTGGTTCTCGGGAAGACAGGAGACAAGCACGACCTTATTCAACCATCGAAGCCAGCGCCGCACTGACGAGACTCTTTCGTCGCAGCCCCTGCTCGCTCTTCTTCTGCAGGTCGCGGGTGGAGCCGAGCTGATAGCTCTTCTCGATCCGATGGGATGACTGCAGCGCGCTGACGCTGCTCTTTCTCCGGGAACGCGTGTATTCCGCCAGCGACGAGGATGATGGGACGGAGGAAGTGGAGGAGATCGATTCCGTGGCCGGGCGGAACCGACTGCCCCGCGACGCCGTCAGGGCGCGTCGGCGCGGGGACGACTGCGGCGGGAGCGAGCTGGGGTGCCAGTCGTCTTCACAGGTGGAGTAGCTGTGCGAGACGGCGGTGCGCAGGGCCTCGTCCTCAGAGATCAGGGCCAGGCGGATAGCCTCGAGGTCGGTGGGGTTGCAGTACTGCAGGCGCGAGATGTGTTGGCGCTGCGCGCGCATGGTCGTATAGTTGTGTTCCTGGTCGTCTGCGTTGAGATCCATTGGGGTCGTGTCGGTCGGGGAGTTGTAGCTGTCTGAGGCGGCGGGGGCGGAGGTCGGGTTCAGGTATGGAGAGGAGGAAGACGGGGGAAACGTCGGCGATAGAGAGCCGGATGTGTGGGAATCATCGTCAAGATCCGTGTCGGGGGGTGTCAGGACGTAGCCGGGGAAGAGTTTGGGGTTGTTGCTACTGAAATGGAGATCGGAGGGGGAGGTGGGGGAGATGGGCGCATCGGGGAAGCGGTCATCGCTGGGGATTGCGCCCGCAGTGCCGGACTGGTTTTGGAGTGTGTGCTCGTGAAGTTTCTTGGTGAGGGTGCTGATGGAGAAGCGCTTCTCGTATGCGGAGAAAGGGACGGAGGTGGGCGCTTGAGCCTGGCCCCGGGAGTAGGAGGATCGCGAGCGAGATAGGGTCCGGGGGAAGCGCTGCGTTGACGAGCGTGGTGACGGACAGCGCGAGGACAAGGGAGAGATTAATCCACTGTCATGGTCGAGAGTGAGGCGCTGATATTCTTCGCTGTCCAAGGCCAAGCGGGGAGGCCGAGTGGAGGAGGGAGAGGAGAAAGAGAAGTCCTCGAACATGATGGCGACACCGCTGTGCGGGAAACGAGTGGAGGATAATCAAAAGTGGCACCGTTCTGATGTGCTGAATAGAAATAGAAGTAATTTCCTCGAGCAACCTGGGGAATTATGTGTTCCGAGACTTGATGGAGTTTAAAAGTGGTGGTAGTGGTGTTTAGTGGAGGCTCAAGTTATCGAGACATGGGGGGGAGGATATACAAATGAACAGATAGGGGGGGGGAAGAAGGCACGACGGGTCGGAAGAAGAGATCGCGCGCGCGTTTGTGCCTGGACCCGAGATTATAAGACTAGAGCAAAAGAAAAAAAAAAGTCTGGTCCCACAGTGGCCAATTTTCTTTTTCGATTCTGATTCTGGAAGAGAGGGGCGGATTGTATTTCCTTATTTTCTCGCGTAAAAGAAAAAAGTAATAGCCATCACTAAGAGGGGTCGGACGGATCCAGCGCGTAAACGTAAAGGGAGGGCCGAACCTTGGATGATGGCGTGGGGTGGAAAAAATCACAACAAGAGACACTCACAAGTGGGCCAGATAAAAAAAACAGGAATCTTGAGAACGAGAAAGGAGAGACAGATAGGGGAGACTAGAGCAGTCGAGGCCCTGGGCCTCTTCAACCTGGAGGCATATCAAAGGGCTTTATAATTAAATTGCACCCCCTTTTTTGTGATTCTTCATTAATGAAATGAATTGAATAAGTCGGGGAAAGAAAGGATGAAAGATGAAACTGACGAAGGAAGGAATCATTCCCCTTTGACCGCCTGCTGCATTCGCCATTTTGCCCCGTATCAAATTCCGGCGGCGATTTGGGCCTTTTGATCTTTTGGCCTCTGAAGAACTATCCCTCGTCAATAATACTATTATTTGATGAACACGAACTAGACTAATATCCTTTGCCTCAATATCCCTGTCATCCCAATGGCGACTCCGAAACCATAATCCCTGAGGAAATACGGAGTACAATACACATAAGTGGCATTCTCTCCGCTCTTCGCCCTTCGCCCTCTCTGACCACCCTTGCTCATAGATCTCGATCGGAATTTCGCGAGATCAGGAAAGCAAAAGCCGATCATCCCCCCCAAACCGAAACAGAGACAGGGCAGGGCGTTAAGTTCCCCCCATAGTCGCCACTGGGTGTGTATTCGAGTACTGGGTATTGAGTAGTAATCTCGAACACGGCACCGATTCCTCCGGTCCCAGTCAAAGGCCTTCGATCAACCACGCCTGTCTTGGAGTCTTGGACCCTTGTCGCCACCAGCCTTAGCTACATTGGGGTTGAAGAGGCGTCTCGGTTCCTCCCCCAAGGCTCCAAGCTAAATTACGCTCTTCGTTCCGGCACTGAACCTAGTCGGAGTTGTCCGTCCCTTTAGGTCTAGCGCATGTCAATCCATACAAGGGGCATTATTTGCTTGCAGGGAGGGGCCCGGAGAATCTCTCTTCAGCTTCTCCGTCTTCCCTTCTTTCTTTCTCGGTCCGAGGATGAATGAAGATCTGTGACTCGTGAGAAGTTAAACCTAGTCTACGGCCGTCGAAACAGTCTCGACCCTTTCTTGATTATTCCCCTGACATTTCGATCTGTCGTAAAACGGTTCCGTGACGAGTCATGCTTGCGGCTGGGCTTGGCTCTAAGTACGGAGTACTCCAATGGCAATGATTCTACGGGGGTTTGGACTACGGAGTATTTGCCGACAAAGAGCACTCACTCGCTTGTCCCGGTGCATTCACATACGTTACGGAGGATTGTTGTCGTTTGGGATCCATCACTCGCTAACGACTCTTTCTTTGTGAGTCTCCACGCACTGTGGGGGGAGGGGGGCCGGCGGAGGTGTCTGGCCGAGGTCGGCTTGTCGGAAAGAGTACTCCGTACTAACTAGTGACGGCTTCATAAGTTATATAAAGCGTAAAGAAAGCAAGTTTATTCGAGTGGAACTCGCTTTGGCCTTGTTTGACGCGTTCTGGGGATGGTTGTCTCGCCCTGTTGGATGCTCGAAATATCAAGTCCAATGTCTTTGAGCGCTGTATGTGCGCCAGAACAGTCCCCAGGCTTGGGATTTGAAAGGGAAGGTCATTCTGACCACCCTAAGGCTGGCCATCAGAAAAAAAAAGACAAGTATACGTATATGTAACTGCGTCAATGATGAGAGTTGAACGTCGGGCGTCGAGAACCCGCTGTGGGTCCATATCACGCGTACTGTACACGCGAGTCGCAACCGTATGCCTTCTGATGATGACATGCTCGTCCTTCATCGTGTTCACGGGTCGCTTTCAGAGCGTCTGTGCACGAGAGTCACTATGATTTTCAAGACAACCCATCTTTCACCACATGTTCTTGTCTACGAGCATGAAGCTGAATACTGGGAAACAGGTATAGAAATCCATGAAAGACTAGAGATGAAAGCAATAGTGATTGATTGCAAACTAATATGCCTCTATCAAAACTTCAATGTAGACTTTAAATTGCATTGCAAGTACTCCCAGCCCCCAATTGGCGTCCCGTCGCATCGATTCAGGCTAAGGAGAGATTTCTCAGTGCCGCAGATGATCGATGATGGTAGAAACCTTGCCGAGTAAGGAGTAACTGACAGACGGCTTGATGACGTTGTCGTCGTCGGTGCCAGAGCTGCCAGAGCTGTCTGTGCCATCTCTCTTCGCCTTGGTCATAGAGTGGATTGTGTTCAAGGCGTCACCGGCAGGGTTGACTCTCTCAGCTAGGTGCTCATTCTGTGTGAACCGAGCATTGATCGATGCAATATCGACGGCGTGATCAGTCTGGAACGCGGCTGTAAGCGAGGGATACCGCGATGACAATCACATGGCGTGGTCCTACCTGGTTGGCGTCACGTTGCAGTGCCACTGGACTGGCGTCCACGAGAGAGATGGTCCAGAAGGCATTCAGGAGCAGCAGAAGACCCAATAGAGAGGCGTTGGAGCGAAGGGATGGCATGGTGATGCTTGGTCAAACTCAAAAAAAAAAGAGGTGGCAATGTTTGAAGGTCTTGAGTGACAAGGATTCGTTGTTCTAGTAAAGGACGAGGGCACGATCTGCGTTGAGCTCAATGGATTCGAATGGTTTGACTTCATGAGTGGCAAAAGAAGCCATCATTTGCCCTTTTATAAACACCATTGCTGTCCGGAAACTGTAGATAGTTCGACTCAAGTTGAAGCTGAGTACTTCCTGAAGCGTTGACTATTACTCCTTTGAGGCAGGTGCAGCAGAGCAATGCACATACTCCTAAAATAACACCACGCTCGCTAAAGTTTCTTCAGGGCCGATCTTCCGAATGTGTGTTGACAGCCTTAGAACCGGAAAGGATGCGCATTGCTGAATAATGGTGGATGTGTATACTCGAGTATGCCCTGGCCGCATGCATGTCACATTCCTGCGGAAATTCAACTGCCGAGTGTATAGCCTCACGCGAGTCTAACTTTGTGCCGATGGCAGAAATAGGGCATAACTCTATTCATGGGGGACATAAAAGCAGATTGCGTCATAGGATTGGTAGTGCATTCCTGACAAAACTTCTTGAAGAGTTGCCCTCACGCTTTCAGAATGGCAGCCTCGCGTTCATCTATGAAAGAGCATCTGGAGGAATGTAGCTAGCACCGATCTGGTGGGGCAGTGTAGCACAAAGAGCAGATGACGTCTGTGACTGATTGTCAGTCACACCATTGGAGCAGCATGACAGTCTTTCCATTCGACTATACTCCAGCCTCCTTGTTTTAGCACATCGGCCATAGTCTGCGATCTTGTTAGCACAAGCGCCTGGCTTGGGGCTGTGTCTGAACCCAGCTACACTCACGGTCAAGTTGTTTCTTTGTTGCATCATCGTCTACTTGCGGATTCGATGAGCCAGTTGCAACATCTGAGTCTCAAGCATGGCATATGGCACAATGTACAGTATACTGCACACATCTCATTGGAGTGTATCGTTGCGGGTATGTTTTGTAGTTGGTGGGGAAGATGTTGATAAGCGATTTGGAGTAGAAGAGCTCCGTAGATAACTTAGCATAGATAGCGTAATGCGGCACGTCGGCAGATGCTCGGCGCGAAAGCCGCTTCCCCCGCAATCGCCTCAATCTCCCTTCCATCACCACAACTACCACCACCAACAACCATCTTCTTCTGCTCGCATTCCCATACACAACCACCATGGCATCCCTCCTCAAAAAACCATTGAAGCTTGCTCTCGTGCAACTAGCCTCGGGTAAGTCAATTCCACTTTCAAGATCCATAACCTACTTCCTAACTCCCACAACAACCAGGCGCCGATAAGGCCATGAACCTCGCCCACGCTCGCAGCAAAGTCCTGGAGGCCGCCAAAGCTGGCGCCTCTCTCATCGTCCTTCCGGAATGCTTCAACTCACCCTACGGCACCCAGTTCTTCCCTAAGTACGCTGAGACCCTGCTTCCATCGCCGCCCACCAAAGAACAATCCCCTTCCTACCATGCGCTCTCCGCCATCGCCGCCGAGGCCAAAGCCTACCTCGTGGGGGGCAGCATCCCGGAGCTGGAGCCCACCACCAACAAATACTACAACACCTCCCTGGTCTTCTCTCCCTCCGGAGCCCTGATCGGCACCCACCGCAAGACCCACCTCTTCGACATCGACATCCCCGGCAAGATCACTTTCAAGGAGAGCGAGGTCCTCAGTCCCGGCAACCAGCTGACCGTGGTCGACCTCCCGGACTACGGCAAGATCGGGCTCGCCATCTGCTACGACATCCGCTTCCCGGAGGCGGCCATGATCGCGGCCCGGAAGGGCGCCTTCTTGCTCGTGTACCCCGGCGCGTTCAATACGACCACCGGCCCGCTGCACTGGTCGCTGCTGGCTCGGGGCCGTGCCGTCGACAACCAGGTGTACACGGCCCTGTGCAGTCCGGCCAGGGACCTGGAGGCCTCGTACCATGCGTGGGGACACAGTCTGATCGTCGACCCCAGCGCGAAGGTGCTGGCCGAGACGGAGGAGAAGGAGGATATCATCTATGCGGATCTGGATGACGAGACCATCCAGAGTACGCGAAAGGGCATCCCTATCTACACCCAGCGGCGGTTTGACCTGTATCCGGATGTGAGTGCCGGGAGTGAGTAGAAATCTTCTCCACATTGAATGTTTTGGCGATAGCGGCGCTTGATTCTTTTTACACAGGCAGAATAGACGAGTGATGAATTCTCAGGCTGGCTTTGCTATGTTTCCTTCCTTTGTGTTGAATGTCTACTGACGGCGTATTCACAAGATTTAGCTTGCATACAGTAAGTCCCATGCTGTTGTAGATCCTTCAATGGAGCTGTACCGGGTGAATAGACCATTGTTTGGTCCATGGCCTTTCATCCTCATGGCCATGTATAAAATCTTTCCCTCTCCCCGCCCAGATCTTCTTCAGAACAACCATCTCGGACCTCGTCAAGGCAGTCTCGGCCTATGTGTCCTGATGGCAATCTATACGATGCTTCAGGCAGTCCCTGAACAAGTTCCCTGACAACTTATACAATGCTTGATGTCTCAAGATACATCAAATCCTCGCCAGTTCTATCTGCATATATGCACCAACGGCAAGCCACATAAGTTAGACACATAAGCCCTCAAAAGCCAAGCGCCTACTGCTTGAATTCCTGGATTCATTCCAGCGGGGCTCAGATAGCCCAACTTGCTATCTGATGTCGTGGACTAATCGGTTATTGGAGAGAAACCATATGTTTTCTTCATGGAACACCAAAGGACGGGGGACCCGCAAACTCCGAATGGGGTCTTCGTTGGCAGCATTACTCTTCTTGATATCTCACATGGTTATGACGAAGAGCCAACCCTATTGAAAATGCCCGCATAGATTGGAAGAGACCCGAGACTTTGCCTGTACTGGCCGGTCTTGCCACGCCGCACAGTTTTTGGTCATGTTGACTCAGCAAAGACACAGTCTCAATTCGATCCATGATGATTGCGTCCTCTGTTTCTCTCGGAACATATCTTCTTTGGTCTGCAGGATGGATTAGCCGAGGGTTGACTTCCTGGATCATAATCGAGATGATACCGATCCAGAGCTAGTCTCTCTGCCGGGCCTGGAAGGCTAGCAATGCCAGCCGACGAGACAAAGCTGCGCTATGGCTGCAAAGAGCACCCTGCCCCGTGGTGATATATCCATGCCACTCAAGAAGCTATAGGATAAGACGAAACCAATTTCACAGTGTCGGCTTGCATGAGGCACCCAATCATGGAAATCATATGGAAGAGCCGAAATTCACATTCGAATTCTATCCGCGCTCAACGAGTGGAGAAAAACAAGACTCTACCGAGAGGCGGGACAGATTGAGAGGGTGGCGGAATATAAGAACCTCGATACCGGCAAACAGAATCAACGAGCCTTCAACGTGATCCGCAGTCCGGGACCTCGGTGTAGTGAACAACTCGTTGAGGAGATGGTCGACCTCCAGGGAGGCAGCTCTACGGAATACAAAGACTGCTGAAGCCGAGATGCTTGGTAGGACTGATGGACTGTGACTCGCTGGACAAACTACGGACCACGCACACCTGTCTCCTGTCTAGATCCCTGGTATACCCTGGGAGGGACCGCGCAGGGAAACGACCATTCGACTATTAGTCACTCCATCCCGAACGTGGGAGAGAGCTTACACCATAGCACGATGGCAGAACAACATACAGAGTACAGGATTCAATAGACGGTCAGCGACGTGTACTGCAAAAAGCAGCCATCCTCGACAGACACCCCGAGAATCCAGATAGGGCTGATAAAATAGGGAAACTCTAAGACGTGATCCCTGTGATCATACAAAGAACTGTCTACAAACATGATCCTATTTAATCAATGATTTTCAGCTTGTGGTCTCAGATACTCCCAGAATATCACTCGCGGGTTCCGATCCTTCTCGGGCGAACAAAAGCAAGTTTAAGGCGCAGAGACTAATGGCTCTGATACACCACGAGAAGGCATACTATGCCTGAAGTCACCGATCGTCATCTGCCAGGGGGAGGTCTGAACAGAAACTAACTTATGTGTCTTTATATTCCTGCAAGCATCGCCCCCCCCCTTCCTTCAATACCTTATCGACGACCTCAAAAGAGGCGTTACAAGAGCAGTCAAAAGCAGACTAGCTACTACAATTGATCACGGTTTTACAGCTTCTCGGATGTGTATCCAGGAACCAACGCGAGTTGTAGCGGGCCTATCAGTGACACCACTTGAAGTGTCTGCACTTGCTTTTTACCTGGTGTACCATGTCATCGTTGATGTCCACGCTCAGCTGGAACAAAACCAAAAGGAGCTCAGGTTCCTAACTCTGGAGTTCACCGGTGGAGGCGAGCAAGTATCCAAAGCTCTTGGTCGGAGAAAGTCAGCCCAATGACGGGATCAGATCCAGCCGAGTCGACCCATTTTAGCAACAGCAACAGATGTTGTCCCTACTATTCGACACAGAACGCCGGAAACACCCTCAAATCTGTACACAGCTACCAGTGACTTATCAGGTAGATTAGCTCCTTCGCTGACTTCACGTACAAGCGAAGTCCGGGCACGGTTTGCAGTACCGCTCGACAATACAGAAAACATTCGATAAGGGGCTATCACTACCGACCTGGGAGTAGCTTACTCCTCCTTGCTTCGCAGTCCAGTCAGCTCTTCCCTGTTGCCTCGTGCTAAATCGGCAAATGGGAATCAGGTAGATAGAAATGGAGACTCGGGAATTGGAGCAAACCCCCCTCCCCTAAATTCGTCCAAAACAGGGCACGGGTCCAGGTTAGTTTGCTGGGGATCCACCCCCGCAATTTCATGTTGGTCCACATCTAGAAGATAGCAGATAAGCCGAGTCGGGCAGGGCATCCCGGTGCATGAGAATATGATATTCAGCGACTTGGCTGAATGGGGAAACAATGCGAGCTTTGGAGCAACAGAACGAAATGTTAACTGAACGACTTCGCCAACAGACTCCACATCCAATTACTCGCCCACAGGAATTTACAACCCATGCTCAATTCCCAAGCAATTTTGATATATACCTAAACCAACAACAATGGAGCACTGATCCACGACCAGACTGGCGTCTAGCAGCCAATGCAGTCGCTAGACACAATAATCCGTTCGATATGAACACACAGACTCTTTCGATGTTCTTAATCTGCCACCAACTGATTTTGACCTCAACGTTCAGCACTTACAAGACCGAGACGGGCAGCCAGAGTCGACAGACGGGCCGCCTAACGTTTGAGGACAAACGCTGTCAGAAGACGGCACTGTTGGGTGGTGTTGTGTTCTGCTTATACTTACCACTCAGCGGACCTCTTCTTCTTTCCTTGTATCTAGCCTAGCTTCTAGTTCCCTTAACAATCAATGAATCAATCAATTATCATATGAAGATAGGCTATCAGCTTCCACAACAAACAGGGGTTGATATCAGCCAGATCGAAGTAAGGCTGCTTACGGAGGTACTTTGTAGTGCTCATCTGTATATGAGATTCTTGGTGGATGGGGCCCTTCTACCAAGGTCATCTTGAAATCAAAGTGGCTGGCCATAGGAAGTTATTTGTCGATTGGAAAGGTGTATGTTACAAAATCAAAGAGGAAGGTAATTCAAACGTTCTTTCTTACCATCGCATGAACCCCGCTCGGTTCCGATCCGACAAGTCATTCCGCAGTCGACCACTTTTTAGCGCTTATGCTTTCGTTATCATGCTTGCATTAGCCCTAATTTCGACAGAAATATGACGAACTTGAGACCTATACTATACATTCCTGAGAAGTACGCAAGTGATAAGTACATGGTACGGGTGAAAGAAAGTATAGCTAGCTCTATTCAAACGTAAAAATCATCAACTTCGTCATGACTGAATGCATGCAATGCATGCATGCGTATGTGTATATAGGGACTGTACGCCTGCTTGCTTTTTTTTCCCCCTCAAACAGAGTTGGAATTATCGGCACAGCTCCACGCCCCGGACTCGGAGGAGTCGATGATGCCCACGATCGAGCTGTAGGTGCCCGCCACCATGAGAAACGTCCCCGACGCAATCACGAACCCGCTCCAGGCGACCATCAGGTACCACCGCGCGGTTCGGTCCTTGCGCCAGTTGTCGTAGAGCCACATGCAGCCCATGGGCTGGAAGCAAGTCACCGTCCCTAAAAGAGCACCGACGAGGGAGATCAGGGTGTTGAAGATCGGGATCCCGCTGGCGATGATGTAGGCCACCATGGTGACGGTGAAGGTCGAGCCTAGCCAGGTGATCCAGTGTCGGGCGGTGTTGGCGGTCAGATGCCGCGTGCCTCGGAGACAGCGGACGAAGATGTGCTTGCTGGAGAGCTGGCGTGGGGTTAGTGCGAGGGGACGACTCAACCGGATTTTGTTAGGAATTGGGGTCGGTGGTACTGACATGGGCACACAGAGTTCCAGAAACCAGCAAGCCTGGTAGAGCGATGCCGTAGGAGATTTTCTTGATCAGTACACCAGCGGAGCCCAGAGCTGGCGAGGCGACGTAGGAGCCGCAGTAATAGTAGACGACGATGCCGATGGTGATGTAGGTGATCGTTACGACACTTTGGCAGAGTAACAGGGACTTCGGGTAATGACGGGGCTCGCTCATCTCGGCGACAATGGAGAAGAAAGCCGGGGTGCCCGCGTACGCGAAGACCAGAGTGTTGATGGCGGAGATCGCGTCGGTGAAGCTGGGGCTGCCGACGATCTTGTAGTCGGATCTCCAGGCTCCTTCTTGCGGTGCGGCAGCCGGACGGTCTTGGATTCCCACGGCGATGGTGACGATCAAGACTGGGCATATCAGTTAGATGATTTCTGGGGTGTTGGTAGATTGCTTGACCCACCAGCGGTAAGAATGCATCCTACACCAACCCACGCCAACCAGGTGATCCGACCTAGCGTCCGGATGCTCGAGAGCAAGAACAAGATGATGGCAGCGACGGCGACGAAGACGGCCGTACACGCGCCATGGGTAGAGAGCGCATTGAGAGCGATAGAGGTGCTGAGCATCGCGGACCCTGAAGTAAATACGAAGAGGAGGCAAAAGGCCCAGCCGAACAGTTCGCGACCCCATCGGCCGAACAAGAGCTGGCCGACATCGTCGACGCCGTAAACGTGGCGGTGCCGTAGCTTGAACACACCCACTATGTAGTCGGACCAGGTGGTGATCCCGGCTATAGTACAGAGGAGGATAACTCCGGGGACGATCCCAACGGTGTCAAAGACCGAGGGAATTGAAAGCACTCCAAGACCCATCTGAGTCTTCATCATGAGAACCGAGGTTCCAAGCCATCCAACCTGGGATGGTGTCAGTAGGCCCCGGATTCGTGATTCGAGGGTTATACTCACATTCCTGTAGTTCGGTCCATCTTCCGATATCACACCGAAGACTGCATCATGCGCGACGGCGGTTTCATCCTCCACCTCGCCGATCGCTGGCTCGAGGTCGCTGCCGGGTTCATCTTTGGTGTTGGGTGGTGGCTTGGACATGTCGGGTGTTTTGTTTTTGGTAGAAGAGACCGCTAGATCAACAGCCGGTCTTAATTAAAAGAACGGAACAATAAGTCTGACTTCTGAAAGTTAAAAGTACAACGCGCAGAAGGATATTTTGGGAGAGAAAAAGATGAGTCGAAGTGGAATGACTCCTTAGAGCGGAGATTGGGGGAAAGGCACATCAAAGAACCTTAAACTAAGCCAGTTTCCATTTAGTAATGCCGGTCTCAACCATTGTACATATAACACTCCGACCTTAGTATACTTGGGGGTTTCCAATTAAAGATAAGCTTCATCTGATAGTGTTGGGGGTACAGACCCACCTACACGACGACTTCGGCTTGCCTCGAGACGATATACAGCTGAAGTTACTGCATGTGCATATAGTGGTAACAGTAGTACGACGCCAACTGAAGCCTTTTCTTCTTGCCATGTGAAGCTGTACTGTTGACAAACCAGCCATTGATACAATGATAAAGGCATTATCATACATACTGATGATCTTATCTGACTTTTCATAGTGGCATGCATCTCCACCGTAACAGGCAGGCTTCGACAACACTTCCCAATTCCGCCAAGATCTGCATCACCATCCTTGTATTGGATTGGATTAACAGTGCGTCTTGTGCCAGGCCTGACTGAGATACTGACAAGCAGGATATTCAAGCTCCGGAGTAGATTGGCATTGGGGGTGTGATGTCAATCAGCAACCGCAGACTTTCCGTCGCTCTTGCCATGACATGACACCCGCGCTGATGGAGGATCATCAGGCCTCATCTGGCGACGCCTCTGAAATCCTGAAGAGAGTGTAGGTATAAGGGCTCGACCGGTGAGAACGACGCACCACAGCTTGCACGAAGTACCACAGCAGGCCTTGTGCAGGCGCAACGGTAACTACAGTAGCAGACAGATGAGGTGGCCATGCGACCTCCGATCTCGGATCCATACGAGCCTAAGCCTATCGTGGCGGACTATGTTTGTCTGCCTCAGGCATCAGATGGATGCATTTAATGAATGAATGTTCTCCCAAGCACACCCGCCGGGCGGTACATCACGTGCCAGATGAAGGGCCAATCACCACCGCGGCTGGCGATAAGCGAGCCCGCACTGGAATTCCCACCAGCGAAAAACCGACCATCTCGAAATCTCCTCCATCCTTGACCGTCGACGACCACTACAGCCCACGACAGCCGACATCTCTGTCCCTATTCAGTGAGTTCTTGTCGCCAGCACCTGCGCCTCGCCATTCTTGCGTCCGTCTGTTCCGAAAACTAATCACATTTTTTTCTTCGTTTCCATCGCAGAAATGTCCAGCACCGTCAACAAGACCGGCAAGAAGACCCGCTCGGCCATCGCCGATGTGGTGTCCCGCGAGTACACCATCAACATGCACAAGAGAGTACGTTGAAACACCAACCACATTGCGATCCAACCTTTTCCGACAGGAACTCCGATTTCTCTATATCCCCCCTTCCCCTCAAGCGACATGCGAAACGGAATCCAACCGCAAATCGTTGTCGGAGGTCATGGACGGAGAACAAGAAAGAAGAAGACAACACAAACACACGATGGATGAAACCCACGAAGCGGCGCACAACTTCAAAATCTCTCCAAACTCTTGGCATCTGAAAAGAAACGAGGGCAAACGAGAACAAGAAGCAGCCCAAGGGTTTTCTATAAACCCATCATCATCATCGTTGTTGTTGTTAGGATTGTGTGGAGGAACAACCTCGGGGGTTCCATTTGCCAGAAAACCGAGTCATGGTGGTGAAAATCATCATTGGCTTGGTTTTCTGGGTCACCACACGCATCTCCAAAAAGAAGAATTAGTTTTATGAAGTCCACCTCAAGGCCGAATTTCGCTCGCAAACACTCGCTTTGCAAGATTTTCTTCCCACATCATTTTTCCCCATTCTTGCACACGAAAAAAAAGATGGCATTCGGGCGGAAGACTAATATTTCTTCTTTTTGGGTAAAATTAGATGCACGGTGTTAGCTTCAAGAAGCGTGCTCCCCGCGCTATCAAGGAGATCCGCGCCTTCGCTGAGCGTGCTATGGTGAGTCTATCCTATCCCCTGATCGCGCCCCGTACCAAAGTCCTCCATCTGAGGAATCTTGTACGGGCAACCCTCCGCGAAAGTATCACTAACCCCCCCGGGAACTCTAGGGCACCACCGACGTCCGCGTCGACCCCCAGCTCAACAAGAAGGTCTGGGAGGCCGGTATCAAGGGCGTCCCCTTCCGTCTCCGTGTCCGCATCTCCCGCAAGCGTAACGACGAGGAGGGCGCCAAGGAGAAGCTCTACTCCTACGTCCAGGCCGTCAACGTCAAGGAGGCCAAGGGTCTCCACACCGTCGTTGTTGATGATGAGTAAATCTTCAACGAACGACAGTGCTTGATATCCCCTCCAAATACAAAAAAACGGTCCTCATTGTATGAAACCAAAATTTCTTTCCTAGAATAATGAATGGGACAATATGATGTCGGGTGGTTTGCTGGAACCAATCTTCTTCTTTTGCTGCCTTCTCTTTTATATTGTAGTGTGATGGAATCGTAACTACTGTAATGATCAACCAGGCGGATCCTTCTGGCGTTGGAGTCGAAGGTGGTATCACTCGTGGTTCTTATGCCAGCTAGGTCGACAGAGAGCTTGTCTCTAGCATCTATGTCTCTGGCATAGAAGAATTGCAGGCATGTCAGAGCAAAGACTAAGTATTACGCTCTTCCCTATCTGTCGCTACATGATCCACCAGTCTTAAAGCCATATGCACAATGAATTACCATTTGTATTCCCATAAGATTCCATCCTAAGCACAAAATGCACCAGTGATAACGACAACCCCCCACCCCCAACCAAGGATGAATCCCACTGCACTGCGCTGCGTGTATCAAGTGTTAAGTGCAAAGCAAATCTGGCAAGAGTTCAAGAAATCAAAGTCTTCTTTCCTCTAATAATACAACGACAATTTCAGGGTGTCATGAAAAACCGATTTAAGGAAGCCAACCCTGAGAACAAAACCAGACCCCCTTATGAACAAGAGACAACCCATTTTCAGGAAGAAATGGAAACGACACAACACGTTCGAAGAAAAAAAAAGGATTCTTGCCTTTCAAATCCACAGAGACACTCGCTATGCTAGAATGCGCCTGTTTCTCTTCCTGGTTGGACAGACGAAGACAAGAAAAAAAAGACACAACGATCGCTATTCCCGATGATGCAGTTGCGGTCAACTCGAGAGATGCAGAACAGAAAAAAAGAACACTGTAAATACAAATATGCCTTGAATCCATGGGGAAGAAAAAACAGGAAGATATTTTCCCTCTCATCAAAGACAAGAAAGCATGGACAAGAAACGGTGAAATAGAGGGAAAGGTAGATATCAAGAAGTAGGACTCATGATCCGTGGAATGAGAACGGATCACGAAAGAAACCACAGTAAGGCGGCTGGAAGTATGTAAAACAAGAGAAACATCGCCAAGGAACCCCTGTTGAACTCACATTTTCAAAGCAGACCCTCTCTTAGGTTCGTAAGTCGCAGTGGTTAAAGAAACGTTTTTTGTTAGTGCGGAGACCAGGCATCCATCCCAATTCAGATAGACCAGAGTAGAGCCTGTGTTGCTCAAGATTCGCTTGTTACAAGGGGGGAATGCCTTGAACACTTGGGCAAAGAGAAAGAGTTTCAAAAACAAACCAGAGTACATTCGCTCGCACCTTACGCCGCCAGCCCGATCATGAAAAGTGTGTCCAAATACGTTTGTGTGGACACAATTCGTTCGTAGTGCCCCAATGCAAAACTAAGACTTAGTCTCCTCCATCGCCTTGCTGAGACGTTCTGCATCGTCTTTCGTCTTAACCCGGAGGGCCCACAAGACCGGCGGTCCTTCGGCTTGAGGTACCATAAACTGGACACTGTTGCCGGACGCTTTGTATGAGATGGCCTTAACCAGGTATGTGTTGAGAACGACGTTTCCGCTCGGGTCGGCTCTGACAAGAATACGACCGCGGGAGGTGGTCCGATGCTTCAAGACGCGGATGAATCCAACGCCCTGACTCTCCCAGGCGCCATCGGTTTTGTTGTGCTTCATTGCACGAGCTCGGTTCTCTAGAACAACATCTTCGTCTTCTTCACCGGCTCCAGTGCGGAGATCGGCCTGGGGTAGATTTTCAGCTGCATCTCCGTCGCCGGACTCTTCCGCTCCAGTGTCGGAAGCGACACCAGGTGTGGACTGGCGGCTAGTTGTAGCCGACGCAAGAACCGACGACCCTAGCACGGAGGGAGTCTGGAGGGACGGATTCCCAAAAGAAAAGCCAGTCGAAGGTTGGGTGCTACCAGATCCAGCCTTGTTCAGAGATGACGGGGCACCGAAGAGAGAAGAAAACGGCTTTGGGGGTTCAGCTGCCGCCGGGGTTGCAGATCCCGAAGCAGATGGGCTAGCTGCGAACTTAATCGGAGAGTCAGGCTTCCAAGTATTGTCACCGGACGGCTTCGAGAAAATGGATGGAGTAGCACCGCCAGGGCTGGAGCCAGCAGAACTGAAAATGCTGGATCCTGTGTTTGCGGTACCAAAAAGGTTGCTTGCCGCAGGCTTGAGTGCTGACTTCTCAGAGTCAGATGTGCCACCTTGTGTGGAAGAAACTGGCGTGTTAAGAGACGAGGAGAATTTCGAGGAGCCGAATAGTGTAGAAACAGGGTTCTTCTGTTCTTCATCGGCTTGACGCTTAGGTTCGGAGACACGGTCAAACAAGCTTCGGCCACCCGCTGCTGCATCCGTATTGCTGGCCGGCTTCGACTTCTGAAGGGCCTTCGCAAAGTCACCATCCTCGCTGCTGAGTGCAGGAGAATCTGCGGCGTTAGAGGCAAAGTCACTGGTCGATGTCTTCACCACGTCCTCCTGATCATCCCCTACGTCTGAAGCCGCTTCGGTGTTGTTGTCTTCGTCATCGACATTGTCGTCGACATTGTCGTCGGCTTCAGAGGGAGTAGCTGACAAATGTCCAAAGATGTTGCTGGACTTAGGTGCAGACTTTTCTTGGTTGTCAAAGACGGAAGCGCCAGAGTTGTTTGCAACAGCAACTTCTCCGGTCTTCTCGGGCTCAATAGCCTCGTCCTCAAAAACAAATCCTTTGCCAGGAACAAATTTAGCATGCTTCTTGCCTCGAGCGGCATGCTCCTCTTGCTTCTTGCGCTGTTGTTCGGCATCTTTGCGCTCCCACTCAGCTTCATCTTCCTCGTCGGAATCGAAGTCCTCTGCTTTGCGCTTAGCTTTCTCTTTCTCGGCATCCTTTTCGGATTGAGCCTTGAATTGAGCGAAGAAATTACCACCGGCTGGGGCACTGAACTTGGGGGGAGCGGGCAAGGAGCTTGTAGAGGTTCCATTTTCCTGGCTGCCCAGAGGCTTGAGGACAAAAGGATTCTTTGGTGCAGTTCCGCTGGATGCACTAGATGTTGTTGCCGCACTTGACATTGAGGATGAGAAGAGCGAGGTAGAGGTTGAACCTTGGGTGGTTGAACTCGAAAACGACAGCTGTGGCTTGGCTGGCTCAGTCGCCGGTGTCGCAGAGAACAACACAGGCTTGGCTGCTGGAGTGGATGGCTTCGAGGGGGTTTCCTTATGGGTGGAGTCCTGCTCAGACTCAGTAGTCTTTGATTTGGAGAATGACTGTGCGAAGATGTTGGCTGTGGTCGAATCGCCATTGACACGTTTGGGGGTGCCATTGACTTCGCCATCATCAATCGACCTTCTCTTCTTACTGTTGGGAGACGCATCCTGAGATGTCCCGAATGTCTTCCCAGCGCTGGGTGTGGCAGCTTGGGTGGGAACATCTGCATCGATGGGAGTACCGGATTTCACCTTCTTGGATACTACGCCATTGGGAGCATCTTCTGCGGCCTTGCGCTTGGTAGCAACAGGCATTCCAATGGTATCACGAACCCGCAGATAGAACTGCAGGATTGCATCAAAGTCTTTGCCAGATGGATCGGCATTGGCCACCTCGCGCTTGAAGCATTCATTCAAAGTGCGAAGACGATGAACCGATTCGACGTCAGCCTTAACGGCATTGTCCACAGCTCCTGCAACCTTGGGAGATTCCAGATCCTTAAAGTTGGAGGACTTGGACAACTGACTGCCTGTAGCTGGCGCGGTTGGCTTCTCTCCGTTGACCTTGAACAGACTTTGAGGTGCTGCGGCGGGAGTGGGGGCTGCCGGCTTTGGAGTAAAGACACTGGGAGTAGAGGGCGAGGTAGCTGCGGCAGGAGATGAGAAAAGGGCCGGAGGATTGGCTGGCTTCTCGGCTTGACTAGATTTGGATGTCTCTGTGGGTTTGGGGGAGAGTAGATTGCCAAAGGGATTTGCGGGTGCTGGCTTTTGCTCAGGCACCGACTCGCTCGAGGTCGCAGGCTTCGGCGCATTGAACAGATTACCGAAAGGATTTGATACTGCCGCCTTGGGCTTTTCCTGGTCTGAAGATGCTGTCGTCTTCGGCGTGAATAGGTTTCCGGTTGATGAGGGTTGAGAAGACCCAGTCGAAGGAGCTGGAGCTGCAGAGCTGGCGCCAGCATTCGAAAACAATGAGGGAGCTGTAGTCGCCGGCGAATTGAATTGAAATGTGGTCTTCGGTTTATCCGCAGTTTTCGGCTCCTGATCCTTCTTCTCTTCGGATGGCTTCTGTGTGCTGGAAGGTGCACCTGAGAAAAGGTTTGAAGATTGGAAAGGGTTTTTGAAGGGAGTGGCCGGACTAGCCGACGGCGCAGCGCCGAACAGGCCAGTGAACGGAGCGTTAGTAGCAGCAGGCGCTGTTGCTGGCTTTGAGGCTGTAGACGCGGCCGTGCTCTGAGTGGGAGTGGCGCCAAAGATAGGGGCGGAAGCAGGAGTTTGCTCGGTCGGCTTGGCTCCAAACAAAAACTTCGCTGGAGATTCGCTAGACGAGGTCGATGCGCCAGTGAAAGCGCCGCCAAAGAGTGGCTTGCTGTCACTCTTGGTGCTGTCGTCCTTGGAGGGAGCCGGTGAGCTAGGCGTTGAGCTTACATTGGTGCTAGGGAAAGAAGACTTCTGACTGGTGACTGATTTTGCATCTGGAGAGGTATGCATTGAGTCCGATCCTCCAAATGGACTCGACTGGCCAAAGACGGAGGGCTTGGCTGCACTGGATTGGCCAAATATGCCATTGGAAGGTGCAGAAGCGGTAGTGCTCTGACCGAAGATATTGGTTGTGGTAGGGGTTGCAGTTCCGTTTTGCGTAGAGGATCCAGCACTGTTGCTTGCAAAGAGACCTCCGGTGTTACTCTGTGCGCCCCCGGCTCCGAAGAGTGGGCCAGAGGGCAAGGGTTGCTGTTGCTGGGTTGCAGACTGGTTTCCAGCTGGCGGGGCGCTGAAAATAGAGCCTTGGAACCCTGAGAAGGCTGCTGGCTGCTGAGCCGACTGCTGAGTAGTACTCGCGCTGTTCATGCTTGCGAAAGGATTATTTGCTTGAGGGCCACCGAATGAGGATGAGAAACTGAAAGAAGACGATCCTGCACCACTTGGTGTGCTTGCACCGAAAGAGAACGGGGTCGAGCCACTTTGCGTGGACTGGCTGGGCGTCGAGTTCGCACCCGGAAAACTTTGGTTCTGTCCAAATGTAAATCCCGTAGATGGGGGTTGCGAGCTCGCCATTGGGGAGGATACTGTGTTGGGGTCAATGGGATTGAAGGCGCCACCAAACGTCGGGGCAGGTGCACCTGCGTTGCCCGCGGGTGTTTGGCGTCTAGAGCGCATTGGTCGAATTCTGAAAAGCGTGTCAGTCAAGGTTTACGTCTGTCAAAAACGTGTGAAGGACGATATGTGACGAATATGAGAGGAAGAAGGGCAGTGAAACATGAGATCAAGAGATGGAACGATGGGGGAGCAGGAGGGAAGAAAGAAAACACGCAAGGGAGGGAAAACACAAGGTTAATTCGACGTGTTACTCCGTCGCAGGGCACGTCGAGGCTGCAGGGAGAAATAAAATTCATGCATGAGAGGCTCCGCAAAGGTCGGTCTACATTCACTTACTTTCTGGCCGCCAGCTGCGCGGCAGTTGCCCGCTGTGGCTTTTCTTCCGGTGTGTTGTTCATGTTGAAATCGGCCATTCGATCATCAGAGCTGCCCCCTTGGCCACCCTGGGCGCTTCTTTTAGACATGTATTATCCGACTATTGCGACGTCTTCAGCTGCGATGTGGACAAAGCAGCGTTCAATGGAGCCTCTCCTTGAAAGGTTGGCTCTCATGCACGATTGACGGCAATCTGCGGGCGCGCGGTGTATTCTGAGACTGAAAGCTTGCTCTAATCCAGCGCCGGCTATCTTCGAGTGCGTTAAGCTCGAAAGGTTAGGAAGTACACCTGCAATCGTTCTGTGCGCGGCACTGCGGGTGGAGTGTACACGAGGGTTAAGAGTGTCGGTATGGGTGGTTAGAGATTCGGCGAACTTGGCAATGTCGGGCAATCGCGTGGTGTCTACTTCGAGCACTGTTTACAAATTCCTCGAAGGACTGACGGAGGCGGGTTGAAATAATGAGAGGGAGGAAGTCGCACGCTCGTTCTTGTTCCGTATCCGGGGTGATGAGGAGAGGAGCGCAGCGCGCGAAGACAAGCGAGGAGATAAGGCGGAGGAACCCGGCGGATGCGAAGAGACTAGAGGCAGAGCAACAGGCCTCACAGGCTGAGTATGGGGTATATCGATGAAAGGCGCCTTCGTTTCGATGTGCTCTGCCTGCGGGAGGGGATGGGGTTGTGGTTTTTTTAGCCTTTACTTTGCGGACTCGCGACTCTTGCGGGCAGGAAGGAAGACGCTGGCAGAAAAAATTACTGTCACGTGAGCACACGCAAGGCAATATCAGACCAGCATGACATAATAACAAGCAAGAGGTCACTCAGGTAGTGAATAGTTACACGTTGCGACCGTTGCTAGGCTGAAGGAGTCTAACACTATCAATGTACATAAGCTCCCCTGGTGCCTTGTAACTAAAATGAGTCTACTTAGGGATCTTCCACCAGGTTATTCATATTCCCTGAGGGAACTTGGAAAGAATTTCTTTGATCACCTTGTTCTCCCCAGTCAGTCCGTGTGTCATCCGCTCCCGGTAAGTTAACTAACTAGTTAACTAGACCATGTATTGTACTGTTACGTCCCCGTTACCCTGCAAGAGAAGCGCGGAAGAAAGGCATGTAAGATTACGGGGTCATGCACCCTCCCTGTTTCCATGGCAAGAACATGAACAATGCAGTGCAGCTGACAGCCAAGTGGCACGCCTCCTTCCTGGCCTTGGAATACTAGCAGGGAGATATGTCTCGCCTTTTATTCCTCAGATGCTTCCCCTTCATGTCTGACATGAGGAGTTATTTTACACCCTTTTTTCTGGATAATACCCACAAAAAAAATATGTTGTATATATCCAGCTCATGCACATTCTGTAGGTATGCAGTACCCCCTGCTCAATATGGTACACTGGCAAAGCCATAAGCAATCATTTTGATTACATCCATCGCACCCGACGTGCATGAGTCTTTTCCATTTCCACAAGGGGATTGCTGATTTCACTATCCCTGTCTGCCTCGGAAGTTGAGACACCATATCCAGAACATCCTCTACAGCAGAATCCCGGCCCTTCATTCGAGAAGGGATAACGGACTGTCGCGCTCGTCATGATAGTTATGCTGAGTATGCAAGTCCTTCTAAATTCTTAAGTTGGCCTATCAATCTTCTGCTGGAAGTAGCTATACAGGAAGGGCAGAGAAACGCGTGTAAGACGAAAAAGAATCGATCCAGAAAAACAAAAGGGTATCTATAGCTTGGCCTTGCTCTGGGCCTTCTTCAAAACAGGCTCCATCTTGGTCGCCTTCATGATGTTGCCCTTGATCTTGAGCTTACCACCCATGAATAAGCGCTGAGCATTGGCCTTGCCGCTAACAAGGGAGCCGAAGTCCTCATCAGAAAGCGAGAGAGTGACTGTCGCAACAAGATTAGCATCCCGACAGAGTGCGGTTGTACAGACCACGAGAAAAGCGAAATACTTACCGTCAGCTTTTTCACCCTGGGGGGCGGCCCCCTTTCCCACGACTCCCTTGTCCTTGAGATCTAGGTACCAACTCTCCTCTTTACCCTCGGAGTTTTTGAGGCTGAAGGAGACCACGGCCTTGGCCTTATCAATGGCGTCTTTGCGCTCGCCGGCGTCCGACTGCAGGGCAGCGTTGATCACATCGAATGCGGCGGAGGAGGGAAATGCGTCTGTAGAAGCGGCATTCGCGTTAGCCACAGTAAGACAGAAATATAATGTTTGTTGCTGGACCCAGAATTAAGCGTACCGTTCTTGAGACTCATGTTGGCGGTTGATAACAGAGATGGAAGTTAACTCTTCAAGGAATGCCAGAGGGTGCTGAAAGGACCGTAGAATTATCGAAGGAGGATCGGAGAGTTCAAAGAAGAACTGAGTGATGAGGATCAAAAGATGTATTAATAAAGTCCGACCCGGGGATTCAGAATTCAGGATTGCAGGATTCAGGCGAGCTACCCCGGAGTATTCGACGGACGGCGCATGTGAAATAATGGAGGCGGTCGCGGGGACCGGCGGTGGGCCGAGGCTGGACAATCCTGTGATTCTTCCGTCACCTGCACCTTCATTAACTGCGTACAGTACAAGGTACAGCAGTAGTGGTCCAGCACCAACTAACTGACTAAATGGAACCTCACTCTGACTAATCTGTTTTTCAGGCTCTGCAGATCGGGCAATGATTACTCGCAGTATTGTTTAATCCTTACAATCTGAGTCAAGTATCGATACTACAGCTTTCTTGCATAGTCGCCCGTTACGCAGTATGATGACTTTTATGTCCTTATTCTTTGTGAATGATGTCAGGTTTCGTCGGGTAGCTGCACCTGGCAGCACACCATGCTGCCTACAGTACTACTCTACTTCACACCGCAAGGTATCGAAAGAACACACTTGTCAATTAAGGCATAGCTGATCGGCAGCTGCACGCCTTCATCGCTGTCTTAAACTTTGGTCTTCGTGACTATAAGTTTGCGCCGTGATAATGATTCACCCTGAAGACCCTGAAGATATACTACTAATACTTTGTGCATACGTGCATAAAACCGATCCTTATTATCCGTTCACTGTTACTTCAGATCATTATGGTTAACAATTCAAAACTTGCTCTGATACAGTTCTAGAAGAAACTCATTTTGTGACTTGCTGACTTATGCTTCGTTCTGGTTCACAGTTCCTCTTTACAAGACATCTGGGGCCAGCCCACATTCCAAGAAGTGGACATTGTCCCCGTACAAGAATACAAAAAGGCAAGATCAAGACAACATTAAAATGGCAGACAGAAATGGTACCCAAGTGCTTTTTCCTTGCTTCATCGATGGCACACCACACCTTTTACACACTCCTTGCACAACTCTTTTTTCTCTCTCTCGGGAGTCAGCACCTTTCTCACTCGATATGTGGATGAAACAAGTCAATTTCTAGAGAACGGGGGGCTTACACAGACTCGAGCCTCGCTCGGACATCAAACAATGATGTCCTTCTTGCGGCGGACAGTGAGCTTTGTGGTCACTGGCGGAAGCTGGAATCGACCCCATCCTAGCGAGCTTGTCAGCACCCTTGAGCCTTGAATATGATATCAAAGCCCACTTACTATGGATCTTGGGGCGTGTCTGCATGGGCTGGATGTCATACTTGAGCAGCATCTCGGCCATGAGAACTTTGAAGATGTGGGCAAAGATCCAGCGTCCAGGACACTGGCGACGACCATGTCCGAAGACCACATAGGTGTCGCTGGTTGCAGTGATCAGGTTGTTGCGTCTCTCCTCGGTCGGGGTGTGGGGCGCATAGAAGCGGAAAGGGTTGTACTGATCCGGGGAGGGGTAGATGTCCTGGTCGCGGTGCAGGGCGTACTGCGGGATGCCGACCTTAGTACCGAATGACAGGTGAAGTCCGTTGCCAAGTTTAACACCGTTGGGAGCCACGACCTGGTGAATGCCAAGATGTCGGTTAGTATTGCCGGATGGAACAATGAATGGGGGTTCAGAGCAACACAGAATGAGAGAGTAACGGATGCTGACCTTTCGAGTAGGAGAGACGGCATTAATACCATTCAGCCGAAGGCTCTCCTTCACAGCACTCTCAAGCAAAACTGCCTTTTGAAGATCTTCAGCAGTCCAAGAACCATCCGAGGAGATGGACTGCATTTCCTCGCAAAGGAGACCAACCAGGTTCTCATCAGAATAGCTGAGAATATCCAGAAGGACACTGGTAGCTGAAACACCACTAGTGTGAACACCAGGGAAATTAATCATGAAAATGCGATATGCCAGCCACATGGTAGTGAGCTCCATAGGCCATTTGCTCCGCATACCGGCCTGGATGAGCAGGTCCAACAGGGATCCCTGGATTATATCAGCAAATGAAAACCAAAGACACACGATGGGCATCTTACTTTTGTCTTGAGGGTCTGCTTCAGAACGTCGGGGTCAGAAGCCTCCTTCTGGTCCTGAATCTTTTTCTCGATGATGGGTTTCAGATGAGCATGGAACACTCTCTCATAGTATCGGTTGACCAGTCCGACGAGAGGGCCAACGACCCTTTTGAAGGAGTTAGGACTTCTGTGAAGACATGCAATGGTGGGATAGGGCACACTTACGGATGGAGGAAAGCTGGAAAGGCTTTGATAACATTCGCACCGAAGACGATAGCATTGGAGCAGTGTGTCAGGGCCGCCAAAAGAGCCTTGTCATCACTGTTGCCAGGCCCAATTGCGAGCACGTTGATCATTCGGCCGGCAGTCTTTTCCATAAACGAATACAGAGGAACTTGCACCCAATTTTCGGCGTCTTCGCCCCAGAGCTCGGACAGGCAGGCACGCGCCTCCTCGGCCAGAGACGCGGCAACAGACGGGGTCTTCAGGGTCTCCGATAGATCCTTGCTGATAAGTTTGACATAAAAGTCGTACTTCTCCGCGAAGGCAAGGGGCCAACTTGTGTATGCAAGCTGAAAGAAATCTAGGATATGGGCCTTGAAACTGAACTCGGTCTCCTTGGCAAAGAGAATGGCGTTCGATTCCTTGATAGGAAGCAAGACCTCATCACCTTCGTTCACGCTCGGCATCACAAACGGTTTGTTGTTCTTGGAGTACTAAGAGGCGAAAGAACACAAGTCAGCCAAGGTATCACTCACATATGCTGGCCTTTATTTCAGGGTCATGGAGGAACCTTTTCATATCCATCCTTGATGAAAGCGATGGGGTTGACACCGACGAAGCGCTCAGTGGCTCGACCAAAGAATCCTTTCTTGCTCAGAATCCAGGGGATTCCTTCAGGAACAGGGGATCTTTCAAACAGCTTGGCGATGAGACAGGTGATGAAGATCACCACCCCCAGGCCGAGTATGGTGGAGGACTTGGTCTCAAGCAACATCGTGTTTGTTGTTGTTTTCACACGGACTTGAGGATCAACGAACGCAGAAGAGAGGATGTGGTGGAAGAAGAAGAAGACGAGTTCAAATGATCAAGAGAAGGACTGTTATATACCCCATACTCTGATATTTTCTTCCACGGTCACAATTTTCAGGATATCGGCATCTCTCAGTTCCGATATAACTTCTTTGTCTGAGCAGGGCTTATCAAAATTACTCTGAGACGTTCACTAGCCTCTATTCCTGGTATGGTTCTCTCATTGGCTCACAGACCACGAGTTTGGATATATGATTTTGATATCAAAACTACACAGCCAATGACAGTGCCTCGTCGCACCATGAGCCAGGGCTACCAGTGAAGGAAATTCACAGTTACCGGCCTGATGAGGGAATTTCCCAGCCACGTGGGGAAGTGGAGCTGAAAGCCCTATCTCTGGTGATATTCAGGTACGACTAAAATGTTGAGGGGAGATAAGGGAAGAACACGGTCACAGCAACAGGCCTGACACTTTTTCGTCCAATTTTGTGGGGTACTTCCAAATGCTACAAGCTCAAATATCAGTCCATGCAAACGACGGCCAAACAACTAGGAGCTACTCCTCGGGGCCGCCTCCACAATCCACACTCAAATGAACTGAACTCTACAGACAACTTGGCAGCTAGATTTAGCTCAAGCAAAAGAAATCACGGGCTCGGCTATAACACTCGAATTGGGTTGCAAATTCGTCTCCAGCAATGTACATTCTTCCGAGTCTGAAACATGACGATGCGATGCCGAAGGACACCTGAGGACGCGCTCCCGAAACCCAAACAAGTTCTTCTACACCTCGCGTACTAGTCATTGGCAAAGTTGGATGAAAATCAGATCCAGGCTTGGGCTGCGAGATTGAAACCAGACATAGTAATGCCAATCTCATATGGTCTGAAAGGTGCTGATTCTATCCTACGTTGACCCAGAGCCGCTCTCAATCTGCTATGCAGAAGAGTCGCCTGCTTGCCAAGGAGTTCATGAAAATAAGCATTGCTTGGGGTGGGCCCAGTCCTACCGAGCTTTTAATCTGTAGTGGCCGCGTTCGTCTCCCGGTAACTCATTGGCTCATTGTCTAATCGGCCTTGTTCTCACCTAAGGTAATAGCTCTACGGCAGTGTTTCTCGTCTTCATGGGGGCACCAACAGCAGGCACTGAGAACAAGATCGAGCGATGCAATCCCATTCGGCATAAGAATGACGAAGAAGACCGTGGCATATTCTTTGTTTCATAGCCGTTGAGTCAAAACGGTGACGTTTGCGCCATCTCTGTTGAGATGCGCCTAGGGAGATATGAGCCGAACCCATTCTTATGCATTGCCTATTGCGACCATGCAGCTGGACCTCAGCTACTCGAGAAGTAGAGTGCCCCCAACATCGTCTGGAACCTATATTGCCTACACCTGAAGAAGAAACGCCACCTCGAAATACCTCCCACCCAATGATTTGTCCTATGTCCTCCACGGTCAAAATCTTCGGCACGTATAGAACCGAATGCCTATGCATGGAAGCCCTTCACATTCTTCATCGTACGATTTTCGTCTTTTTCGTCTCCGATGATACAATTGAGAGCGTCTCTGAGAGATTAGTCGGGGGAAGATAATGCAGAGGGGATAGCAGAAGGAATGCTTGTGGTTGACGACAGGCTTGAAGTTGATGGTTAACTTATAGTTTGCATCTGCGCGCTAACCCCCGGATGTGGCTGGTGCTGGACTTTCTACTCACCAGCCACATCCTTCGGTGGCTGGCACTTCCTTCGATTCATGCCCCGTACAGGAGTCATGAATCATCGCATTAACAGCTCACAAGTGAGTGGATGATGAGAATATATAAAGTTGATAGATCACTTTTCTTAACACAACGGAGCCTTAGGGGGAAGAAAACCAAAAATAAAACACAACAATACAATACATAAAGGGCAACCTGAAAAGTGGAAGCAAACAAAAACAAAAAAAAACAACCCGCCAAAGATTGCCACCAGAAGAGCCAACTCGGAACCGCCAACGTCCCTTTCCCGTCAACTCAATTAATTCACTATCGTGTTATCTCCACCTCAGCTCTCTGCTTACCTTTCCCCATCAATTGAAGTCAACCCAGAACTAATCTCTGTGGTTACGGTCACTGTCTGGACCGGAATTGACCGTGCTGGAGACTATTATTCACCGCGGGGCAGGCGTCATTCTGATCGCAGGGCGTGTTGCCAAGACATCCTCACTCCTCATCCTCACAATTTTGACGCTCTCCACTCCACTTCTCCATCCAACTGCCTTACTTTAACTCGTACTACTACTTCTCTTACTTACAATCCCAGCTTAACCACTTAAAGACAGCCATCCCCCAGTCTTGTATCTTCTCTGCCTTTTACTACCTGGAATACCCTTGTTCTCTGCTTCCATCTCTGTCTCTACATCAAGCACTCTCAAAGTTGTTCCGCTGCTGCTAGCAGTTCCGCCGCCTTTGGTCGGTCGTGGTCTCGACCGGCGCTGCCCGCGCGTGTGCCGTGTCGGCTTTCTCCAGAACCATCTATCATGGCTCCACGCAACAACGATGAGGCGATCCGGGAGGTCCTAGAAGATCTTGAGCTTCAACATGTCATTCTGCAAAGTTTGGAAGAAGAATGCCCCGACGCAGAGCAAGACAGACAAGAGATCTTAGATGTCATTGAGGGCCTAGAGACGCGACTGGCGGTGCTACGCGGGGAGCCCGTCGGCAGAACCGCCAATTCATCTCCGTCCCCCACGCGGAGCTCTAGTATGTCAAGAACATATTTTGACGGCGTTCCAGCCTTCCCTCTTGACAATCCTACGTCCTCTTCGCACAGTGCTGAACGTGCTGCCCGCTCCTTCCCCGGCTCTCCTCTCAATCGAACCAGTCGCAAACGTCAACTATCCACATCCTCTATTGAGGGTGAACACGATGACGGGGACGATGACTTGGATGACCTGGAGGCGCCAATCAGGCGAGAGCAGCGGAAACGGGTTCGTCACCGCTTGAGCCCTGATTCCCGTTCAAGTCGTCGCTCGGCGGAGGACGAATCCGATGAGGGACTGGACGATGGCAATGACGAGCTGCGCAGGATGCTAGGCCTGGACAGCTTCCGTCTAATGCAGGAGGAGAACCGACGAGCAGAGCAGTGGCTCAAAGCGCAAAAGGAACAAGAACGTCGCGATGCTGAATTTGCGCGCCAGCTTGCGCAGGACGACAGTATCACGCCGCACTCGGCGTTGGCTCGGAGCCCCCCGCCTCCTACTGTTCCTAGACCCCCATTCACCGCTCCAGCTCATAGCAGGTCTGTGCCTCATGCAACCTCTGCATTGTACATTCCAGGCAGTTTTCCCGGGGGACCTCGGCCTCCAAAGCGCCTGCCACCCACTGCGCCTCATTATGATGGCTATAGAGAGTCGAAAGTTGTCACGCTACCGGACGACAGTGATGATAGTGACATCGCAGAAATCGACGGCCAGGACTTCAGACCCAATCTTCTCCGTCCCCCGCTCTCACCGAGAAAGGGCCGCCAGGTATCCAATGACCGCTTCGACACTCATTCTGCAGCATGGAGAAATGGCAAGATGGGTCCGAATGGTGCAGATGATCTTCGAAGCGCCTACTCTCCCTATCTGAATGGACTTGCAGCCGGTCCCAGTGTCTTGGGTCCACCTAGTTCTCGATTTGGGCCTAGAGTCCTCCCCAGTACCATGGCACGACTGAACTCCGGCTCTAGTATGCTCAATGATATGTCAAGCACCGTATCTCAGGCAAGCAGGATCATTTTTGGTGGGTCGGACATCTCGTTTATGGGCCCTGGCGGCTACGAATCAGCTCTGGATTACATGAAGTGAGTACGCTCTGTTGACTTCAAAGGGGGTTTGCTAATCAAGCCCATGCGCAGTGATCTCTACGGGTATGGAGAGGATCCAAAGCAGACTAAAGAGGAAATCATGAAACTCCTAGAGTCTATCAGACCCGACTCTGAAATTTCTAAGGAAAATCGCGAAGGGACCCCTGAGGCACTCAAATTTACACTCCTGGAGCATCAGAAACTTGGTCTCGCGTGGATGAAGTCGATGGAGGAAGGGGAAAATAAAGGTGGAATTCTTGCTGACGACATGGGTCTTGGAAAAACTATTCAAGCCATTGCTCTCATGGTGTCACGGCCTTCCACCAACCCTGAGCGAAAGTCTACGCTGGTTATCGCTCCTGTTGCATTGATTCATCAGTGGAAGAGAGAGATCCAGAGGATCCTCAGACCTGGCAAGCATCAGCTTTCAATTCATGTCCTACACGGCGACAAGCGGACTACGACTTTCAAAGATTTGAAGAAGTACGATGTGGTCCTGACTACTTTCGGGACTTTGGCAGCCGAGTTCAAGAAGCTAGAGAAAGCCGAGGAGATCAAGAAACATGACTCAGATCTGGGCATGGGCCTCATGAATAACTTACCTTGCTTAAGTCCTCTCTCCAAATGGTATCGGGTCATTATCGACGAAGCCCAGTGTATCAAGAACAGGAAAACCAAATCTGCCATGGCGTGCTGCACTCTTCATTCCACGTATCGGTGGTGCATGACCGGTACCCCGATGATGAATTCAGTGGATGAACTGCAGTCGCTTTTGAAGTTTCTGCGGATCGCGCCATATTCCAACCACGAGAAATTCCAACGTGTGAGTCTGGCTCGTATCGCTTCTGCTGATGACCGATGACTGACTTTGATCTCCAAGACTTTCACAAATCCCCTGAAGGGTAGTCCCGCTGGCCGCGAGAAGACAATGCAGGCATTGCAGGTTCTGCTCAAAGCAGTTCTTCTACGGCGCACCAAGACTTCCAAGATTGACGGTAAACCCATCCTACAGCTACCGCCCAAGGTGTCCGAGAGGGTGCATGCTGTCTTCAGCGAGGAAGAGGATGAGTTCTACAAAGCCCTCGAAACCCGCACTCAGCTTCAGGTCAACCGATACATTGAAGAGGGCACCATGGGGCGCAATTACTCCAGCATCCTTGTGCTGCTCCTCCGACTCCGACAGGCGTGTTGTCATCCGCATCTGATCAAAGATTTCAGCATTGAAACTCCTGTGACATCAGATGAGTTGGACCTTGTCGCAAATGCCAAAGCTCTTAGCGATGAGGTTGTCACTCGACTGAAGAACAATGACGACCTCGAATGCCCAATCTGTATTGATGCTGTTGAGAATCCGGTGATTTTCTTTCCTTGCGGTCATGGAACTTGTGCAGAATGTTTCTCAAGAATCTCAGACCCTGCAGTTGCAGTCAGAAACGGAGTCGATGGCGCCAATGAGATCAAATGCCCCAACTGCCGCGGTAAAGTGGACCCCAAGAAGATTACTGATCACATCTCGTTTAAGAAGGTACACTGCCCCGATTCGACAGAGGGGGATGAGGAGGTTCCTGAGCCAACAGATGGGACGGCGAGTGAGGATGACAGCGATGATGACAGTGATGATGATAGCCTGTCTCGGTTCATCGCCGATGACGATGAGGACTACGGTGGTAGCAGGACACGCAAATCTAAGGGCAAAAAGCCACAGAAGACCAAGAAGACCCTTGCCCAGCTCCGCAAGGACGCCCAGAAGAACCAGAAGGCTAAGCGCAAGTATCTGCGCCGTCTTGAAAAGACCTGGATCCCGAGCGCCAAGATCGAGAAGACGATGGAAATCCTCCGAGGCATCAGCACCAATGACAGCAGCGAAAAGACCATCATTTTCAGTCAATTCACATCTCTGCTTGACCTGCTCGAGATCCCCATTGCGCGTGAGGGCTGGGACTATCGGCGCTACGATGGCAGTATGAAACCTGCGGAAAGAAATGCATCTGTCATAGAATTCACGGACAATCCTGACTGCAAGGTCATGCTGGTGTCCCTCAAAGCCGGTAATTCCGGATTGAATCTGGTCGCCGCCTCACAGGTGATTATCTTCGATCCTTTCTGGAACCCTTACGTGGAGGAGCAGGCTGTGGACCGTGCTCATCGTATTGGGCAGGCACGCCCGGTGCAGATCCATCGCATCGTGGTGAAAGGCACGGTTGAGGACCGAATCCTCGAGCTTCAGGATCAGAAGCGCGAGCTTGTCGAGGGAGCGTTGGACGAGAAGGCCTCGAAGAATGTTTCCAGATTGGATACTCGGCAACTGCGCCATCTTTTCGTAAGTCGACCACCGTATATTCCTAGAGCGCGCTCATCATACTAACGGATTTTGTTTAGAATATCCATTAATGTGGCCGACACGGTCTTATTGTTCAGTCAAGATTGCAGGCGTTGACATTTCTTCTGGCGCAATCACCACCATAACGATACCCTGGGTTTTCTCGTGTGTTTCTCTTTCGCGTGCTGCTTTAATGTTTTTTCGAATTGGCGCCGCGCTCTCTCGATGACATATACATAGGTTGGAAAGTCTGCATTTAGATCGCTCTGCATCGAGGTCGGTGATTTAGTTGAATGAAGGCCATACAGTACATGCAGCAGGAACATAGCTTAAGAGCCATAGGCCAATGGAGTTTGCTTTCTTGCACCCCTTTCGATCTCGGTGAGGTTAGACTGTACCACAAACTCGTAGATCATGGTATGTCTGCGAATGGCTGATGAGCGGCAGTACTCATGATATGCATGTCATAAGTAGGACATATTATTCAAGAATCCTTTCAATTCAATCTAGCCCGACGTAGTATCTCACTCATACAGAAAGGAAATTACCTGGTGCCACCCACTCACTTAGTCCTAAACTTCCCAACGAATTTCTCCCAGCAGTACATCACCAACCATGCAATGTATGTTCCAGACTAACGTCTCCTCCTGATACACCACAAACATCCCCCAGCCCCAAGCTCCAGATCTATATTCAATGTGATAGCCACAACCCGGCCTCACAATTTTTAACGCAAAGGCAAGGTGGCCGAGTGGTCTAAGGCGCTAGTTTTAGGAATTCCTTCTTAACGGAACGAAAACCACTAGTTCGAAAGAGCATGGGTTCGAATCCCATCCTTGTCATTTTGGCTGTTGTTTTGCTGTTTTTTTTTTTGCTGGGTAAGGGCAGGGAAGGTGAATCTTGGGGCTGCGTGTATGTTCAGCAATAGGCTTGTGCTGTTTATTCATGATCTACTACTATCCCCGATGCTATGCTTTGGATTGTCGAATGCGGGCAACGTCACGTTTAATAAATATTCATAGGCATTGCATTGCACTGTACCGCACTCACTCACTCACTCACTCTATTGGAATTCGCAAGGCAGGCGGCGGTGGAGGAGAGGGGGGAGGGTGGGTTGTTTATTTGTCAATGGCCCGCGCGCTCGCCGGCGGTGTTGGCTGGCTGCTTCCAATTGTTCCTCGGCTGGATAAATGGATGGCGGACGGCTGGCTGGCTGAGGGGTAACGTTCAGGGAATCCACCATCAAGCTGGAGGCTTACTAGGTATCCCGTAACGAAGGCCCGGGTTGACTGCCCCCGTCGTTGGGTCTCAATCTCAACCCAACTGCTCTCCCAGCCTCTGGGTTGTCGGTGACGTCACTCTTTTCGGTTCGTGGTCTCCTCTTTGGGGGGGGGGGGGTCTACGCTGGATGATTACGGTAAGCCTGGTGGATTGCATGGGTTGGTTTAGTGGGTGATTGGGGTGACTGGGTATGGGTTATGGCATTGATGTGGGAATTATGCGGGAGGGTACAGTGCGGGTGGAAGATATATCTGCATTTGAGGTTATCCCTCCTGCATGTTGACAAGATCTATGCCTACGGAATGCCCTCATCTACGACCCATCGGTTTTGAAGATTTATCTGTCTGTTGTTTGCTCGAATGTCTACTCAATGATACCTCCTCAAAGCCCAAGGTAAAAAAAAATCCTGTCATACTTTTGTACCTATTATGTGCGACTTCGCGTATTTAAGAAGCTTTTGGTTTTTGCTCTCTTGCTGCTGCAGGCCCGTCATCCGTGTGGCAAAGAAGTTAAAACTTGAACTGTGTGTTGAAAGAGATAATAAGGAGTCTAGACTACTAGTGGTAAATGTTGCAAATGCATAATCATGCTCCGACCCCGTCTTCCTCGCGGCCCAATTTTGCTCCGCCTCCTGACTGCTGATCGATCGTGGCATTCGTGATTCCCAGATTTCGCAAACGGTACCGCACCCCCCGGGCGGGCGATGCCCGGGTTGCGAGCACGACCGCTATGAGAATAAATCTACCGGGGAGACCCCCGGAGCTTTATCATGGACCGCACGCTTACAAGTCGGCGTCATCCTCATCGGGCAGGGGCAGGGCAGAGGCCGCCTCCATCTCCTGCTGGTACTGTTTCATGAGATCGGGGTTGACAGCGACCTCGGGGGGAGCGAGGGCGGGAGCGGCGACGAATTCCTGGTAATCATTAGCGCGCCGTTCAGAAGTGTCGACCGGAGTAAGAAGTATAGACTCACCAGCTGGGGGTTGCCGACCAACTTGCGAGCGAGCCAGAGGAAGGGCTTCTCGAAGTTGTAGTTGGACTTGGCGGAGATGTCGTAGTACTGGAGGTTCTTCTTGCGGTGGAAGGTGATGGTCTTGGCCTTGACCTTGCGCTCCTTGACATCGACCTTGTTACCGCAGAGAACGATGGGGATACCCTCGCAGACACGGACGAGATCACCTGGGATAAGGTCAGTCATGACCCTGAGATGAGCAGCGCTCGGTGTGGAAGAACACTTACGGTGCCAGTTGGGGACGTTCTTGTAGGTGATACGGGAGGTAACGTCGAACATGATGATACCGCACTGTCCGTTGATGTAGTAACCGTCGCGGAGACCGCCGAACTTCTCCTGACCAGCAGTGTCCCATACGTCGAACTGGATGTGTCCCAAGTTCTGTTCACAGAGGTTAGTCCTGCATACCGAACAAAGACGGCGAGCCCCGGTCAAAGCGGGGTTGGCTGGCGGGGCATACGGTGTGGAATTGGAGAGGGTGCACTTCGACACCGAGGGTCGCGATGTACTTCTTCTCGAACTCGCCAGTCAAGTGGCGCTTGACGAAGGTGGTCTAGAGAGGTTTGAAGGTTAGCTATGGGCGTCTCGTATCATCGGGCTGATAGGTAATCAAGTTTTTCTGCCGGTGGTTGGAGGATGAGGATGGCCGGAACACAGAGATAAACAAGGCACCGTAGCACCACTGCATTATTCCACAGTGGACGAAAAGGGAAAAGAAGAGTCGATATATCATATATATCATATCACAAGATATCACAAGAAAGCAGAAGAAATGCAGGAGGGGTATTTGATGATACTTGCCTTTCCGGTACCACCATCACCGACAAGGACGAGCTTAAAGGTTGGTACTTGCTGATCAGCCATGGTGAAGGGTATGTGAGAAATTTAGTAAAGTAGAGGCAAAATGAGTGCGAAAATCGAGAAGTCGTCAAGCCGATGCGACAGCTGATGGGGGGTGAGAAAAGACGTTCGAAAGAACGGGAGTGGAGGAGGAACAAGAAGAGTGAGTGGGTGGGATGGTTTCTTCTACCAGTGATGGAATTTTTGCCGCGAGTCGGTCACCAAAGCCTCCACTCACGTGCCTCCTCGCCGCCTCAGGCCGCCATGCCCCGCCGTTCTTTCGATTTCTACGCCCACCGCCAATTGCCCGATTCTGCGGAATAAGTGCATACCTAGTAGTGAGAGACAATCAGGATACATAGGTAGGTAGGACAAGTAAATCAATTAGATAGGCTGTTAGAGGACAAGAATCTGTTCAACTACGCACACTGGGAAATCATACGAATACTACCAACACAACCGTTCTATATTGCTTCCTTTCGCAGTCCTCGGGAGTTTCCATCCAGTGGATGGAAACCCCCACCAGTATAAATGCTCCCTACATATGCGTTCTGTATTGCTTCCTCTCTCAATTCTCGGAACCTGAAGTTTCCATCCACTGGATGCAAAGTTGCCAAGTGCATTTTCCACCTCCCATCCTAGCTCGCTTCGATCACGAAGCACACTTGCTTCCCTCTCGTTCAGTGAAGCGAAGCTTGCACCCAGGATTTCAACTGACAATGTCAAGATAGGACCTTGTTGAACTCCCGTGCTTCGTGCTATTGACGAGAAGACCACTACTCATTATGGCAACGTCGAGAAGGAGGATTGCATTAAACTTAATCATCATAATCCGTTGTTTCCTCATGGAGACAGATTGAAACGCCACCGTAGATGCTCCCTTATAGTTGCTCAAACACAGAAGGAAAGTCATGAATCCATACCACATGCATCATGATAGGGACGAAATAAATCATGCATGGTAATACCAGTACCCATGATACACTCGCTCCTGTCATAGAGGAACTAAATGACAACCTAACAGACCTCGGCCACCCCAATCACGGCGAGGGGTGAGCGCCAGGCTGAGCTCAAGATCATTGGCCGAGGTCGTATCCTTTCTGGTGATGATGACCGCCACGGGGCGCTAATTTCAGGTTAGTCAAAGAAGCTTGGGAGACAGAAGACACAGAACAAGAAACGTACCCCCTCGTTTTGCTGGACAACCTGAGCAACTTTCGACAGACGTTCGTGGTTCAACCAGTTCACACTTCCAAAATTCCGTACAGTATCGCCAGCTTTAAGTCCGGCTTGGTCCGCAGGGCTGCCAGGAACAACACTATTGACTTTCGCAAAAGGAACTCCGGCAGCCTCGCTCCCTGCAGCGTCACTGCCGGCTGCACTGGTTGGTACAGCTTGCGTATTATTGGTATTGCCATCGGATGGTGCAGTAGCCTGCGCACGCTGCAGGCTCGCGAAATGATCATGTATCCCCTTCTCGAGAAGCGACATGACTTCTTTATGATCCGTTCGTAGTCTGATGATGCGCGCTCGGGTGGTTCGTACTATCGGAGATCTTAGCATGAGGACTGTAGACAAGGCGATCGAGACTGACTTTGGGCGACATCTATGTCATCTCGGGGGTATCCATCGAACGTCGTCAAAGAGGTGTTCATGTGAACGCCATGCTATGTGATGCATGAGTAGATTAGTACCCGGTTTATAGGCAAGAGGGAGCAGAGGAGGTATGTGATGGTGCTTACGGAGCTGAGCACGCTGCTAAGAGCTGAAAGTTCCGCTTCGATGCGTTCTTTCTCTTGCATGAGATCGACGACACCGAGCTTGGATAGATCGCGAGCAGGAGCCTCTCCGGACGTGGGTCCGGAGGCGACTGTAGGAGCATGGATGTTATTGTTGTTGTCCATGGATATTCCCATGCTATTATGGGACGGAAGATGAGTGTTCAAGGTTGGATGGATTCTCGCGACACCAGGATTGGGACAGTCGGGAAGATGACGGTGGTGGGTCTGGCCGCGGCGGGAAAATCTGGGGGAATTTCCCCTCTCGGTAAGCCGAACATCAAAATATCTGCTAAACTAGTAGTGGAATTTCTGCACTCACTGCAGCACTGTCTGCTACCATGCACAATGCACATTACATTACTTACATGATTAGACAACTCTGTAACCAATTGTCTGCCAGTATCACGACTAATAGGATGTCCTTGAACTTGCACTGCGAGAAGCTTTTAGTAACTGGTGTGACATTTATGCACTCCCAGGCATGATAATTGGGGAACACAGATTACGCTGGAGCTTCAACTAGTATTCTGGAACAGCGCCGTGCAGTGGTGCGCTCTAGGCCGCTTGAAAAAAGTGGTTTGCTAAGAACAATGGCTCTAAGTACTGTCATTGTGTCTCTCTGTCGACCGGAGGCAAAGGCATATCCCCGACACTTCCCCTCCTTACTCGCCTGCGCTGGTCGTGGCTTCCTTCCAGTGTGGCCACCGTCAGAATTGACATCCAACCAGCTACCAGTCGACTTATCTTCATACTGAACTAGAGCGAGCTAGGTTAAACTGTGTCGGTCGCCAGATATATCGCCATGGAAGAATCCAAGGACATCGCCGAGACGCCGGTGCTTGTGCTAGAGACAGCAGGACACGGAAAAAGACCAAACAATGGCAACACCGTTCCAGCAAGCTCAGACCCGGTAACAGCGTTCAAACGATGGGTGAATAGTCTGCGATCGCGGAGAGGCTTTCCTCCTGTCGGTCCCCAAAGATACGTCGAAGGATGGATGGAGATACCCCAAACCGATCCATACACCGGTTCCGAAATGCCGCTTACCCAAGAAGCTCAAGAGAAGAAGTGGGAGTCTTGGTCGAATCACTCCTCTCACCTGGAGACAGTAAAGACGACGACAATCAGCATTGCTAGTCAAAGTGTTGTGCGATCGAGGGGCACTACTCAAAGTACCACAAATCAGAGCGTCAAGTCGGACCTCCGTGAGTCGCTAGAGAGCATAAGGCCAGCCTTGAGTTCATCCATCGATGAGGACGCCCAGAATAGAGCGATCAAGAGGCGCCGTGTTTTGCGAGAGCTGATTAGCACCGAGTGTGATTACGTCTTTGGTTTGAAAGCACTTGCTGATGTATACCTTTCACTTCCATACCACCTCCCAACCTGACTCCACACGCCGTTGAGCTAACCCCGTACAGGCACTTTTTATCTTCTCCGTCAGGCCGGAGATTTACTATAATGTTCAGCAGCTTCGAGATATACACGAAGATTTCCTAGCCCAACTTCGGAAGCTGACACCGATCTCCAACCTTGCTGGAGCCGAGTTCGACAGTTTAGTCCCCCAAACAGCCCACAAGCACTTTGGCGCCTTTGATTCGAGTTTTAGAGCACTTCATTCAAGGTCTCTGAGATCGCGAAGCTTCAAAGCATCGGTAAACTCACGCCTAAGGGCCCTCGCCGCAGAGACGAAAGAGGCTTTAGAGGTTGCGCAAGCCGTAGGAAGATTGGTGAGGTCTCCCCTGTTTAATCTTTGATTCCTTCTCTAATGACGATTCTCCTCTTAGTCAAGGAACTTCATGATTTACAACCTGTTCTGCAGTAGCTATGGTTTGCTCACGTTTGATGTCGAGCTGCTTCGTTCATCTGTTCCCAATTGGCGGATCTTCGACTTGGGTATTGAGGCACTATCAAAATCCGTGGCTTCCATCGATAGACAAGCGCACGAGAAGCACAGATCTATGATCTTGGATGATCTTCTTATAAAGGTATGACTTGCTCGCTTTAGTGATTAGAATGCAGGCACTGACAACTTTATAGCCAGTACAGCGCCTGTGCAAGTACCCCCTTCTACTAGAGGAATTACTCCGCTGGACACATATTCAAGATGACCCATCCGCCCATGATGGCATTCGACAGATTCTGGAAAGTGTTCGACGGGTCGTGCAAGAAGTCAATCAAATCGTCAACAACCCCATAAACAGAGACCTGGTCTTCAAGACGAGGGAACTACAGAACATGCTGGACTTTTCAGAAGGGGTATGTCTCCATGTGTCCTTTTCAATTCCGAAAGGTTACTAAAGCGGCGTCTGTGAAACAGAACAAAACCCTTGATCTATACAAGCAGCTTGGGCCGCTGATACTTTGCGGTGTCCTGCATGTTACCTATTCCTCCCCTACAGAATCTGCCGCCGCTGGCTTCATGGTCTGCGTTCTATTTAGCAGCCACATTCTTTTTGCGAGCATGAACGACAACAATCGAAGGCTTGAAGCGCTGATGTGCCTTCACATCCCGGATCTCAAAATCGACACCTTGCATAATGGCGAAGGTGACTGGACTTTCCACCACATACTCTTCTTGGACTAATGAGTTGGTAGGCATTAGCTGTGACTGTGTGTTCTCCTGGAAGTTGGTATTCTATAACTCTGGTACGAGATATGAGCTGGTGCTCAGCGCATCGTCTGCAAGCGAGGAGAAGAAATGGACAACAGAGATACTTAAGTGTGCGGCAACGTCGACCAAAGTACAAAGAGATATTAGAGAGAGGTCAAGGCGGTTAGCATTTGTTTCCTTGGACTTGGTCCCACTGGATAGCACGGTGCTTCCTTTGTCTCGTCGACCATCGATGCAAACATTAGGCGCACCAAGACCGCCAGCGGAATACCCTATTGTAGTTATCAAGAGGACACATTGCCCGTACCTCCTAGAGGAACATAACCCAGCGGATGGCGATACAGATCGTTCTCAGGAGCTTCCAGACGAGCTCGTGACGACGGTCGTTGCTAAAAGACAAGACCGAATCCGTTTGGAACGTGTAATCTCGGCAGTCTATACACGGAATGCGCTTCCATATCCCGGCATGACTCTAGCAATGGGGGACCTTCTTTTCCGACCAGGCTCGATCATGAGGAGGAATCTTAATCGAAAACAGATATTGAGGAGACGTGCGAGCTTTGTGAACGTTAAGGCCACAAGAGCGGCTGCTGCTTCGGCCAAGAGGGAAATTCGTCCGTTGGACGGCGATTACAAGAGACTGGAAAAATGCGACGGGGAGCTTGGACTCGAGAAGCCGAGATCCAACGGACCGGTACTTGATGATCAAAAGGGCCCTTGTGTTCTACGCGATGGTAGGGAAACAGTCAAACGTGTCAGGACATTCAAAATGACAGGCACGCCCAAGTCAACACCCAGCCCTGAGACTCCTTTGACCAAGAAGAAGGACACAAGTCAGGAGCCCCCTGAGAACTCAGCTACGAAGCCATCCACAATCCGTAGGATGTTGAATTCCATGTCAACGAGGAAACCGAAAAAGAATGGACGCATGAGGGTGGGGAGTGGAGCTTCATGATGACAATGATGCAACTGATTTCCAGGGGTCACCAAGCACGGAGGGACAAGCATAGGCATGCATATCGCGGACAAACTTTTCCAAAAACTGTACTGGACGTACTCAGTACCCATGATTATTCTTGCAGTTTCCTAAGGGTTCGAGGACGTGGGGAAAGTCGACGCAGGTGTTTGATGGAGTACTTGGCGGGAGGTGGGGATAGTAATTAGCAGCGTTAGTGATCCAAAACGACCTAAATTGCTGGAACGAAGTGCGGCACGAGAATAGTAGTGATGATGATGACGATGATGCTATTTAGTGATGAGGGAATCTGATCACCTAATGAGCTGGTAGTGATTCTCCACCGAAGTTACAAGAAGGGTAAATACTGGTACTGTTGAGCGGATCAGTCGACGTAGCATGGACAAGACCGATGACGTCGGTGTTCACTTCAGCGCACGATGGCATGTTTTGACCACGTCGGTAGTATTATTTAAGGGTGGTTGTTGTCGACTTGAAGCCATTCAGTCTTCCAATTAAACTCACAAGCATCTATTATCTCAAGAATTAAGCAACTGAGCTTTTCATCAACACGATATCCCACCTTTCTCGCTACTCCGCATTTGCCTGATTGCCCCGACATCTTGACAGTCTGTTTCGGGTAACATTTTAGTGACGTCATCAACCAGCCCCTCCTCCATACTCCATCCGACTCTACTTCAACTACTTTATCTCATTTCTTCCCACCCCACCTTCTCTTGTTTCTCCTCCAGTACCGACAGTCAAATCTGCCTACTACGAGGAACTCTCAGTGATCATTATCTTTTCAAAACCACTCAATTGATTCCATCGTCAACCCCTCAAATCTATCAAAATGCCTCGTGCCGTTGAGCAAACCTCCAAGATGTTCTACAAGGGTTCATCTGATGACTTCGTCATCTTTGTCGACGATAACGACATTGTGAACAAGTGGCGCAACGACCGCTCCATCCCCCTGGCCGACGTGGTCAACGGCTTCAAGATCTTTGTCACTCACAAGTAAGCTTCTTCCCCTTTCCAACCCAACTTGCTCCCCTTCAATACACACTCCGGTTCTAACGCAATTCCAACCCAGGCACGGAGCCCAGGGTATCCTGGACAACGCCAGCAAGTCGAGCCTCCAGAACGAGTTCGGCACCGACAACGAGGACGACTGCTTGATCAAGATCTTGGAGAACGGTGAATTCCAGAGCTCTCAGGTAGGATTTTCACCAATCACACCTTTCTTCTTTGTCGTCTAGTATAAGCAATTACTGACCTTGTTCTGTGATTTCTCCAGTCCCGTGAGCGTCAGGATGACACCAACTTCGCCAACGGCCCTGCTCTTCGATAGATGATGCTAGACGCTTTCTAATAAGCTGATGCTACTGCTGGCTGGCTGGCTGGCTGGCTGGCTGGCTAGCTGTTTTCCTGTTCTGCTGCAGAAGTGTTCAGGATAATTTCTTTGATGTTTATTCTCTCTTGATGAGCCCATGTGTTTCTAGCGGATGAAATATGGTTTTTTAAACCTGGTACCATGGTACCAACCAATCTGGGGTGTTTTGAGAAACGTGTGATATGTTGATTGTGGTGGAAATAGGTTGACTAATTTAGTGTCTACTTGTTTGATAACTGAATACAAATACCCATGTCAGATCTGGAAGGAGTGTGCAAGTTGTAGACTTTTTTTCGATTTAGTAATTGAAGGTTAGATCGATCTATATATCTAGTTGTCATTGATCCTGACTGGAATTATCCTCATCAACACTACGGTCTTTTGGTTGCTGCTGCTGCTCCTCCCTCTCCCCCCGGCGCTTCTTCACCCACACCCCCAGCTCATTCCACACAGCCTGTTTCTCCGCCACCGACATCCCAGCCGCCAACCCACTCGTCGTCGTAGCCACAAACACCCTCGCCCCAGGCCAATTCTTTTCTCCTGCTGATGACGACGATGACGGCCCCGACCCACCACCACCACCATCCTCATCGCCCGAAATGACCGCCCCCATATTCATCCCCTCATCCTGCCACCCGTACCGAAACTCCTCCTTCCGGATCCTGCGCCCCGTCTTCACCCGCCACACCGCCTCCCAGATACTCTTCCCGACCAGACACACGACGGCGGGCCGCTGCGCCGCCACTTTCGCCTCGAGCACCGGCACCCCCGCGTCCATCTCCGCCCGGCTGAGCATGCTGGCGTCCCGCGTCGGCCGCTCCACGATGTTCGTGTTCCCGATGTTGTACAAGCCCGGCAGCGCGTAGGTGTCCGACGGCGGGTGCCGGATCGCCGTGATCCCCGACCAGTGCAGCAGCTTCCAGAAGAGGTTGGAGGGGTGCGCGTACGCATGGCCTGTCACGCCGGTGAGGATGCCGGGGTTGACGCCGACGAGAAGGAGGTCCAAGTTTTTGGGGATTGTGTCGCGGAGGAGGCTGGGGGTGGTGGGGGGTGTTGGGGGTTTGGGGGTGCGGGTGCGGGTGCGGCGGTGGCGGGGATTGGTGGTGGTGCTTTTGGGGGTTGTGGATGGTGAGGATGAGGGTGATGGTGATGGTGATAGTGAAGATGGGGTTGGTGCTGAGGATGGGGTGGAACGGGAGCGGGTGAAGGAGCGGGTGATTCGTGTTGTGGTTGTGGTTGTGTTTGTCGAGGGGAAAGTGCGACGTAGCATGGTGGTTGTTGTGCGTTGGCGCTTGGAGGAGGGTGAGGAGATGCTCGACTCGTCTGGTCTATTCTCTAGATATGGTTGTTGCGGTGGTGGGGAGAGTTTACGTTTTGAGCGAGTCGTCGCGAGGTCTTGCGAGGCATTGTTGGTGGTGGTGGTGGTGGTGGGTTTGAGGGTAGGAGGCTCGGTGGCGATGTTCTTCGCTGTGTGGAAGTATTGGTTCAATCTCCCGTTGAAGCTGGTCTTCTTGTTCACGGGGACATTCTCGATCTCTTCAGCCAAGCCGATATCTTCCTCAAAACGCTTCGTGAGGAGCAAAGCTGACATTGTGTTGCTGCGAGGGAGGTTGAACTGGATGTAGATTCTGTTCTTCGGGAGTTAGTAGAAATGAGTAGACGGTTTTATGTTTACAAGTGATCAAAGTGATTGGGTTAGTGGCGCTCGCGGACTCTTGTCCCATCCAATGAGCTCATCTCAATGGCAAAAATTGCAGTGGCGTTGCCTGTCTGTCTGTCAGGCCTCGAGCGGATGAGATGGGGTTATCCAATATCCAGTTGATTCAGTCCAGGAACGACTAATCCCATTGGAGTAATTTTGGTTAGTCGCTGCACCACCTCAGGCACTGCACTAGCCTGACTGTCATGTGAGTTAAAGTGATGCCTCGGAATCCAGGCAAAAATGGATCAGTCACATCTCACAGTGAGCCAGGAGTTAAAATTTGGTTGCGATTGATCGTTTTTTGGACAGATATATTTCTTGTAATCTCTAGGATTATGTATGCTAGCTATATCATAGTATTTACAATAAGCCCAAGGTAATTAGTACGCTTGCTCTTTGGAGCATAGATCGCCACCAAGACTTTAAATGCTGATTCCTCCTGCATAAGAGCTGGAAATGGTCATTACCGACTATATCCCAAAAATTTCTCTTCCCAGACGCCAATAATGATATAAGGGTATTCGCAAAACTATCATCGTGAATTTCGTAGTCATAAGTCCTTCATGGAAAGCAGGCAGAATGAATCAATGCCACACTATACTTTGTATTCGCTTCGTTTAGGCAGGGTCCAAGGTTCGGGACATACCACCTGTGCTCATGTTAGCTCAATCACCACACACTCGATACGATCGTGGGCCACATACCTCGCCCTCGCTATAAGCCCAGAAATAAACCCCGATCCCGATGACGTAGTATATCGCCGGGTCCGTCCCTTGGTAGAGAAGCATAGCGAGAAGAGCGTTGAGAGGATAGAGGATCAATCGGAACTCGATGCTGCGGTGTGGTATCGAGCCCGCGACATATTTCAGAGGCCATTCCCAGGCGATGCCAACCAGCCCCATCAGCAGATTGAGGATTTGGAGTATCGGAATAGGCGTGACGGCGCCGTTCAGATTCTTCGTCATAAAGTCCCAAAATACTTTGGGCCAGATGAACCCCTCGACTGCGCTTCCTATTTGGACTGGCAGTGAAGCCTCCGGTGTTAGCGATCGCAATTGACTTCGACTCAAGTGAGGTCAAGACTTACAGGCTGCCGCTGTGAGGATGATCAAGCGAGCCCAGTGGTTCTTGATAAGTCTTCCCATGACTGGCGATATGTTCTATCCAATAAGTGGAGTATGAGCAGCGTCTTCCGTCCTGCGAAAGAGTCGATGCTCGGCGGTGGTTATTCTTGGTGTTTTATCACCAACTTTGCTGGGTGCTTGTGGCTTGATGGTGGACGTTACTCCATCACTAGGTCAACTGAAGGTCCACGGAGTAGGTATAATAGTAATGGTATAATCCCTTCCTGATTGCATGGTAGATCAAGCGTTCAAATGATAATGACCCGTGCGTCGGGTTTGTGAACATCAAGATAGAAGCAACCTCGTATCGTCAAATCACATCACCTCAGAAGGTTCACCCCAAAAAGATCAGATCATGCCTCGAAAGGCCGATCCCTCGATAGGACTTTATGAGAGAGTGGGTGAAGGAGGAGGGGATTTGAGAGACAGGCGGAATACACCAAGATAGTAATAGCTCCCAGCGGCAAAAGAAGTACACACCACCTGACCGCGGCGGAATCTTTCTTCTTCCACTCTTCAACTGGGAACCATCCATAGTCCGCCTGACAAGCTAACGCACTTCCCGTCCTTTCGTCTCTCACCTATTATTATCATGACCGGACGTGATAACTGCTTCTGTTTTAGCGACCGCTCCTTTTATCAGACCAATTGAAAATGTCTGGTTACAGGAATTCACCGATCCCCCGCCCTGCTTCTTCACAGAAACGCACCTCCCTGTACTCTTGATTGGGCGCGCTTAGTCGGAGAAGCCGTGGCCCTTGCCAATGCCTTTGGGTTGACTGGCCCTGAAAAGCCCCGGTTGGGCGCTACCGGACGCAATTCATAGCCACTGAGCGGCGAAAGTCTGGCTAGACGATCGTCTCCAGCGAGTCTTGAACGTCGACGAACGTGACGGTGGAGCCACTCATGCAGAGGACTTCCGGAAACACACTTTAGCGGCCGATGCATCAGTACCAGTACCCTGTTCTTCACTTCTGATTGAACCGCCCCGAGGTTCTTGTGGAGCGCCTTCGTGTGAAGACCGACAAAGCGGGGGAGCAAGTGGCTGGATGTCCTGTTCGTCTTTGCGTTCCCCTTGTAAGGCGCCTAGCCAGGCTACACACGGTCCGACGCATTGAATTTCGCTCAGTTCATTGAGTGTAAGCGCCCTGTAGTAAAGGCTTCTGGTCTTGGACATGCCTAAGGATGCGAATGATCCGGTGGTAGCAAAACCGAGAAAGGCTGTCTTTTTTTTGGCCACTCACCGTCTTTTCCTCGGTAAATTGTCGCTGGTCATCTACGAGAAAGTTCGAACAAAAACCACTGATGCGGGTTACCCACATGGTCTGAGTCTTTGTGCAGTCGCTATCACGGAGTCTTTGTGATGGAACTTGCCAACCGTGCAGCGCCAAGCGGCCTTAGAACACCTTCGGCCTGACATGCGGATTCCTTCAACGCATCCCCCACGAAGTCATGGCTGATAGCTCTCCTCGGAGGTGAATTCTGGTTTGGTCTAGTACCTGAAGGATGTTTGTCTTGGCCAGCAGGAGACCTTATTTTTGGCATCATCTTGAATCTGATCTCCTCTGCTTGCCAGTGCATCGACAGCCACAATAGGGAGTTGTGTCTGTTCAATGGCCGCTCGGGCCATGTGTGACGGGAAGCGCGCTTGCATATCGCTTCTCATAGGTTGAACGCAGGCCCCAACTCCACCCTCTTAAAGCCAATCTCCACGAGACATGGAGAGCAGGTGGTGAGCAGTTGGCTGGATGAACCGAGTTTCGAAGGCAGTAGAGCATCCTGGCGCCACATGGTTCGTCCTGTAGTGGGCACCAGGACTTGATGAGATAGACAGGATGGTGACGAAGAGCCACCAAGTCATCCGGCTCCTCGGGCCCTGCTATGGCCGCCATTGCTACACCAATTATCACGGCATGACGATGGTCCCACAGCTGTCAAACCTCATGATGGACGGTGTGACAGTTGCCATTTGATGTTCCTGACCCGGGAATACGAGGTCAAATATGATCAATTGTTGCGAAATTTCAGGGACATAGCGCAGAGCTCACGGTCAAGCACGCGCACCACCCGATGGCTTAAGCATGAGAGAGAGTAGACGCTCTCAACACATTGGGCCTTTACATGTTCTGGGGGATGTCATAAACGAAGTTACGCTACTCAACCGGCTGATCCGTTTCCTGCAGGCTGCCCTAGCGTCACTTAGGCTGAGGCCCTGAGCAGGGGTCGCGTAAATATAGCAACACGTTTCCTCGTCAGGGCGCCTTTCCCCTCTTCACTTGCAACCAGAACCATATCTCTGGGAACCTGACATTTTTTTTTTCGACGACGTCCACCGCCACACCCCACACTGAAGCTCGCCAGAGTCTCTCATATGCTGGATTCGATCACGATAACGATGATCGCGTTCAGTCTGTTTCTTGACACTCAATTGGCCCCGAACACTCTCCCCTGATCGGACTCTCCGCACGCTGAAGACTTCGACACGGCAGTTGAGAGAAAAGGCTTTTTTCCCACGCATAGACTATCAGCGTCGGGGTCTGAGAGTAGACAAAGTTCATCGCTGACTTTATTGATGTACTAAAAATACTTAGAATCATCCCTGATTCTCCACAACTTCAGGAACTCGACCTGGTCACACTCCTTATCGTCCGCAGGAATCAAGTCATTGGCTGCTCGTTTACTGCAGCTGAAATTGACAAGGGAGCCTGTTGTATGCGAATATCCAGACATGCAAATTGCCGTGAAGAGAAGACTCGATAACAGCGTGCACATTCATTAGAGCTCATAGGTGTTTGTGTTCGTTCATATCTAAGAATCGTCGCTGGTCGATGAGTTGCTCAATATTGGAAAAGACACCTACTCTCCTTTTTGCATATCTTCTCCATAACGACAATGACAAATTCTTGGAAATCCCACTTCAGCGGATCCAAGATCTGGTTCTATTTACTATTCTGGGGATTGCAGATTGTGCTTTTTGCAGTCGGCTGGTAAGTCTCTTCTTGTCAATTTGGATATCGTCGTTTTACTCACAGACCATAGGTACCTACAAGTGACTAATCACAAACTCGATGCCTTGAACACCCTAAAGTACTCAGTCTGGATCTCGAGAGGTGCAGGTTTGGTCCTGAGCTTTGATGCGGCTATTCTTCTTTTGCCCATGTGCAGGAATCTGCTCAAGACCCTAAGGCCGCGATTGCGATGGCTACCGCTAGATGAGGCAATATGGTTCCATCGCCAAGTTGCTTATTCTCTCCTAATATTTACCATCATTCATACTGCTGCTCACTACGTCAAGTATGCTACCTTTGAGGATAGAGTGGGTCACATATGCTAACAGACAGTAGTTTCTACAATGTTGAGAAAAATCATCTTCGCCCTGTCACAGCAGTCCAAATTCATTTCACCGAGGCAGGAGGCATCACCGGTCATGTAATGCTCTTGTGCATGATGCTTATGTACACCACCGCCCATCAACGAATCCGGCAGCAGTCGTTCGAAACATTCTGGTATACGCACCATCTTTTCGTCCCTTTTTATCTAGCTCTTTACACCCACGCCACCGGTTGCTTTGTTCGCGACACCACGGACCCCATCTCACCCTTCGCAGGGAAAAGGTTCTGGAACCATTGCCTGGGATACGAAGGCTGGAGATGGGAATTAGTGGGCGGGGCGCTGTACTTTTGCGAAAGGCTTTATCGAGAAATTCGGTCAAGGCGGGATACAGTGATCACTAAGGTGATCCGTCATCCATACGGTGAGTTCAATGTAAACTCCAAAACCAATCCAAAAGCTGACTCTTCGAAGATGCCATGGAAATCCAGTTTCGTAAACCAAGCATGAAATACAAGGCCGGCCAGTGGCTCTTTATCCAAGTTCCCGAGGTTTCTAGCAACCAATGGCATCCCTTTACTATCACCTCCTGCCCTTTCGACCCCTATATCAGTGTGCACGTTCGCCAGGTTGGGGACTTCACCCGTGCCTT